TGACCACGTGGCTGTCAAGATCAACGATCCGGGCCCGCTTGACGTTCGTTCTGAAGCAGGTATTTTCTTGGGTCGGGCTGACCGGTTTACCAATGGTGCTTATGTCGAAGTCAGAAGGAACGGCAAGAGCCTTGTCGTGGTTACTCGACTCCCTGCTATCACCAAGGAGCCAGAACGACGATGGAGAACATATGAGTCTCTGTCAGGTGATCTCCTCTGGATCTCAAGCGACGGCCAAGTGCGAGATGCGGATACTATCAGGGATCTGGGCATTGACCTGGGCATCTTGACGGTTGAGGAGGTCCAGAGCGGTCAGAGTCCCTTAGACGGGTATCCACTGGCAGCAGTTGCTACGTCATCATCCCAAATGAAACAACCTGCCCCTGAACATGGCGATAAGGCTGTGAACTGGCAGAAGTATCATCTGCTTTCCTATGAGGAGGAGCAGTTGGCGAATCAAGTCGAGGAGAAGCTACTGGAAGCGAGCACAGCGCCGGCTCAAGCGGAGACGGTGGACTTGAAGGGTTTCTATAAGGGTGACAGACAGCAGCAGTGGAAAGCCTCACTTGTGAAGGAGTATGGGAAGATGAAAGATGTCCTTGAGGAAGCGACCCGGGATCAACTACATGGCAGATTGGGCCTGCCTACGGGGACCCGCTTACCTCGTGAAATCCCTTCTAAGGTTGTGGCAACACTCAAACCGAGCGAGGACCCGACGTTGGCCAACGAGGATGGGTTTGCCGAGAAAAGCCGAATATGCGCTTGTGGCAACTTTGAATCAGGAGCTGACAACAATGGTGAACCTTGGACGTCTTCAAACATCCCACCTGAGATTGTGCGGACTTTCGTGTCATTGGCTGCATCAACGGAGAATTGGACTTTGGGGGGCTTGGATGTCGAGGCCGCCTTTCTGAACGCCGACATTTCCTCCGGAGATCCTGTGATTATTACTCCACCCAAAGTTATGCGAGACCTAGGGCTCGTTGGTGCAGAAACGGTGTGGATAGCGCGAAAGAACATCTACGGGCTCCGTCGGGGCCCGACCGAATGGGAGAAAGAGCGCGACACGAAGATCAATCATGCAACCATCCAGGGCTCCAAGGGCGACAATCATTCAGCACTGACTTTCATTCCGATCAACCTTGCCGCTGGCCTGTGGAAGCTGGTAGATGAGAAGGGTGTGGTCGTTGGAGCGTGCTGTTGCTATGTCGACGATGGTCTGGTCGTGGGCGATGTGGAAGTGATCCGAAGAGTCACTGCTTTCATTCAGAGTTTGTGGTCTATCAAGGGTCAGGGTATTCTTGAGAAACCAGGGGTAGGACTTAGCGGAAACCTCGTTGTGAGTGAAACCTTGACCTTGAAGCTCGTTCGGTGCATGCGATTCCTCGGTGCAGAGATTGCTGTGGCGAGTGATGGATTGCAGATTGGACAGGCAAAGTATGTGGCACAAGAACTTCGGGCTCGAGGGTGGCTCACGCTCAAGGGGTCAGAATCACTACCGGTACCATCGGAGGGCCTTGCGGCGTCTGAGATCCGAGACAATGCGTTCGAAGCTAACATGAAACTGGCCCAAAAGGAAGCTGGAACCTTGATGTGGATTGCACTCCGATCCAGGCCGGACATTGCTGCTTGCTTAGGTGTAGCCAGTACTTTGATCACTTCCAGGCCGTCCGAGAGTCTGCGATTGTGCAAGGGAATCTGGCGTTATCTTCGAAGCACTTGGGACAAAGTGATTCAGTACAATTACGGAGGTCCCAAGGGTCCAGACGACGCGATGAATGATCCATCAGTGTTCCGGATAGTGTCAGATGCCTCTCTCGCTCCAGGGGGAGCTCGTTCGAGGAGCGGCGTGGCTTTATTCCTAGGAAGTCATCTGCTGTACTGGAGGTCTCAAAGACAGGCTTTAGTAGCCTGGTCGGCTACCGAAAGTGAGCTCGAGGCTATGGCTATTGCTTTCCAAGATGGGCTGAAGCTGCACGCAGTCATAGCTGAACTGTCGGGCCGTGCGCCGCGCATTTTGGCGTTCGGTGACAATTCAGGTGCCATCCAGCTGGTGACTAAGGAGCGCTTTCACGAGCAGACAATGAGAACACGGCATTTCGCAATCCGTTGTGCTTACATCCGAGATCTTGTGTGGCTACATGACATTGAGGTTTTGCATCGCGGGACAAATGAGCTTGAGGCCGATGGACTTACCAAAGTCTTGGGCAAGGCGAAACTGGCAGTGGCGCGTGTGCAGCTGCGGATCATGTGATTAATATGATGGGTAGGTCGTGACAATCGTTCTACTCATAATCTTTTCGCGTGAGGGCCACTCTCAGGAGTGGTAAGTGCTTTTGTAACATAGACTCCGAAGGAATAGTCCAGGGTCTGTGATTAGGGTAGGAAGGCGCAGTTGTTCCCACTGGGGATAAGAACAGAGTCAAGGCTCGAAAAAAGAAAGAAAAGAGACCATAGGCTGGTTCGCCAAACCCCTACGGGCCAGGGGAGTACGCTGTTGCTTCATCCTCTATGCGCCATTTTAGCTTTCAGTTTGGAGATCTGGCTGAGTCTGAGTCTCAGCACGTGCGGAATCGCACATGCCGAGAAGGAGGAGTGTTGTTGATAGGCCAGATGCTCCATGATAGTATGCCATGCTCACGATGTGGTCGAAGCTCCCATCTCTAGTGTATGGCTATAATTAGTTTTGCGAACATGCTCTCTTACGGAGGGCGCGAGCACACCATTTTAGGAACTGCGCATGCACATGTTTGATGAGTGCAATGCAGGATAGAGTCGGTGCAGTTCGCAGTGCACGATTCAAGAAGTCATATGCTTGTCTCTGACTTGCAAGCATGACTCAGTTCGCTTTTACACGGCGAGACTTCGTATGGTATTTGGCTCAAGAACGCGAAAAGGATCCGAGAGCTGTTTGGCAACTTTGGTTTCTTGCGACTGGGAGTGTTTGGGGTTGTGACGACGACACAGAGGCCAACGGCCTCTCCGTGCAGAACATAACATCCCCAAACCCTTAACAGCGAATACCTTGAAAGCTTGTGTTGCCTTGACTCTTTCGAGTCGTGCCAGACTGCTGGGGCCTTCTGGTTTAATCTCGGGTTCGTAGTCTTGAGGATTTGCGGGTAGGAAGGTCAACACGTGTTGCCCGGGCCGGTACTTTCACTTCCGTGATCCTTTGAGCGCCGTGAGTGTGATAATGCAGAGCGATGTGGATGAAGATGCCACTAACCCGTATCATACGCCTCGGAGGGGACAGCGTGCCCTAACGAATATGCCTGATCATTATAGTCCTGTGACAGACACCATGAGTCCAGATCAGAATGCAAGGGCATTGACATCAAGAGCCGGTGCTCATAACCAACAATATTGATATGAAAACTAATATCATTACTAATGGACACCTGCTTATACTAATGTACATAAAATACAGCTAACACTACTGCTAATACTTCACACAAAATTTATACTAACATCAATATTTACATAGCTATTGATACTCCTACGAATACGAGTACGTAAACTCTTGTGCGTTAACAGTGATGCTATCACCAACACTAGTACGGACTTTGATAATCTGCTGAATATTCAAGAATGCCACTAGTATTACCAGCATGAGCACTCATATTATGGCTATTACGAGTATAAATAGTCCTATTTCTAATAATATTGACATTAATACTGCTACGAACACCAATAGTATATTCATATTGATATGATGACTAATATCATTACTAATAGACACCTGCATATACTAATGTACATAAAATACATACCACTATCTTAAGATACAGATATATACGTCAGTGCATTCATGTATTAATGCTTTGGCATAGGCATATGCCCATATACCAATGTATCAATATACCTCTCGTTGTTGTATGAGTATACTACACGAATATGTGACTGTACTCATATACGGCTACTGCACTATGCAAGAATACCGACATGACAAGTTCGTATACCAATATGCCAACATACTGATATACTTATAAATGATTAGATAAAACAGTCATATAGTACACATACTCGTACACTAATATGCTAACGTTCGAATATACTGGTATGTCAATATACTAGTAAGCTAGTACAGCAGTATAGTAGTGTATTCATGCACCAGTTGTACTAACATGTAAAATATACTAGTATACAAGTATGCAAATATTTTACTGTTCGAATACATTGATGTACTGATATACTCATCTGCTAATATACGAGACTATCAATATACTAACATATCCAAACTAACTAGTTCTAATATTGATACTAATACTAGCACTTCTGCGAATATAAGCTGCTGTTAAACCCAGCATTAAGACTGATACTGATACTACTCGTAGCAGTGGTGCTGTATTACTGACATTGACACTGGCACTAGCGCTAACTCTAACACGAACATGAGCACTAACACTAATTTATAGTTGGCAATATTGATACGTATACTTACAGCAAACAATAGTACTAATATTAATAAAAATACTCACCCTAATACCGATACTACCACAAGACTGTTACGTAACTCATGTGCCGCACGTCTGGTGCTATACTATGTACCTCATGTAAAGGTTTTGCTTCATAGAATATCGTCGTGCACGGTGTTTTTTAGACCCGCGGTCTGTCAACGGGGGGGGGGGGTGAGCACATATATATATATATATATATATATATAGGGTTTAGTGTGTATGCCAGAAATGCCTTACTCCGTTTTTCATGGCTACATGATGATGCTTTTGCCTCCTGCATTGCTGAGCGAGTCACTAGGTAGGGTGCCAACAGGATACCAGGTATATTCAACATGCATCAACATGTCATGACAATTCGGTGAAACCTCTTTTTGGGATGTGGGGGTTTCCGAAAATAGGGGACCCTCATACAGTACCCTAATAGTAGGATGCTTATTATAAGGACCCCAAATAAAGGTACCCCTGAATTTCGGAAACTCCCATGTCTGGTTTAGGACAAATCCTCAAAGGACAGACCTCACGCCTGAACCCCCCCGACATGGCCTCTGGTGAAGGGACAGGATCTCGTGCTTGTGCAGATAGCCAGGGATGGCGATATCCCGCCATGTGTTGAAGCAGGGCTCCTTCCTCAGTTCAAAACAAGATTTGAGGTCGAATTTCGTTCTAGGATTCACTTCCGGAGGGATCAGGATCTGGAGCTTTGCAGTTCCGGGTTGTGGTGCATACAACCTTGTTCTGGGGACTATATCAAAAATAGCGAGGGATGACTACTCATTCAAAGTCTAAACGGGCAATATGCAGAACAACCTTGGGAAGCCCGTACAAAGACCGTCCAAGCTGCAGTCCCAAGAAACCAAAAAAGCAATCATCACACTCTCCCCGAAATTTTAAGCTATATTACCACTATCCCAGGCTCCACAATGCCCTTATCAAACCCTTCTCCCAGGGACTCCAATACCCCCTGATTATTAAGGAGTATTCGCTGAGTCATATTAGGCATCCTACTATAACTTAAGGTATGTTCCTTAATTGAGGGATATTGGAGTCTCTAGGTTACGGGCTTAAAAGGCCTGGGAAATGCCCTTATAAAAAAAAAAACTCAAAACCCTTAGCCTTCTAGAACCCTGATAAACTGGTTGGAACATGCCTGAGCCCCCCACTCAAAAAACGAAAAAACACAACCCGGCACACCTAAAGCCCCAAAGCCTCAAACTCGCCCTAAACCCTAGACATCGCCCTAACCCCTACAAAAATACAGGCCTAAAGCACATAACAAATCCTACATCCTAAACCTAAAGGCAGGCCCTAAGGTCCGAAAACGAGGCGCATGTCCAGCACGTCGTTGAAGAGCCAGGTCTCCGGACTGAGCCTTTCGGCTTTTTGTTGTTGTGGGTCGGGTTCTAGGGTAGGGGTTTAGGGTTTAGGGTGTGGGGGTTTAGGGTTTTGGGTTTCGGCTTGTTGCTGTTTGGGTGGGGTTTGGAGGTTTCTTGTTTTTGAGATCCTTTTGTACGGTTGCCCAATCGTCTGAGCTCCCATAAGGGCTTGAAGGTTTAGGGTTTAGGCTTTAGGCTTTTTTGAGTTTTTGGGGTTTAAGGTTTAGGATTTGGGGCTTGGACTTAGGTGAGAGCTCAAGGCTTTAGTTCGGGGTTTTCGGCATTAAGACGCTAAGGGCTTAAAGCGTCGACTTTCACAGGTTCAGGCTCATTGCCACATGTTTGGAATGTTATCAGCTTTTTCTTGGCTGACATCTGAACCCCTCCTAAAAGTTAAACCTTTAGCCTCCTTATTATAGTTCATATAGAAACCAAAAAGTTAAAGTCTAAAGAGCCAACCAGAAGAACACCAAGTTTTGAGAACGGTAGAGCTTCCGGTGTGCTTTGGCATTCGGTTCAAGGATATAGCTTTGATATTGAGGGTTTAGGTCTACGGACTTGGCTTGTACAGGGCCCTTTTGCTTGAACGAAAGGCGACAGGGTTTCTTTTTAGGTTCAGGGGGCTGAACCGAGGGTTTTGAGTGATGTAGACATACACTTGTGTCTGCACAGCAAGTACTCATGTTTCTTTATATTAATCAGACTGGGCAAGATGCTTGGAGTCCCTGTACCTTCGCCACCGAGGGACTGAATGCTCTCGGGAATTTCTTGGCGCCAGGACGGAAACACGTTGGCCTGACAGTCACGGGCAGAAGGTGCATCTCTTCAGCAATTGCTTTCTATGTTTTGACTCTGCTGCACCTGTCTGTGCTGCTGACACGGTTCAGCATGCATCATGGGACGGCACATGCAGATACACGTATCGCGCCTTTGTTAACTTGGGGCCCATGTGCTCAGGTGCAAAGCCGACAACCGACTCGAGATTCCATGCCCTTCAGATTCCAGACTTCTACGGCTCAGGGCTTATGGTAGAGGGTGGAGGGTATGGTGCCGAGTGGCGGAAAGGCCGGAGCCAAAGGTGAAGATATGATCGCGGCCCCGATTCCGCCGGAAGTAGGGCAGCTGATCCAGCATCTTCTTATACCTTTCCGACTTTGCGGCTTTGCAGCGATTAGAACAACGAAGCACCGTCTCCTGTGGGCCAATGTTTCCAAGCTACACCTGCTACCCATGTCATGGAGACCGGCCTCACGTGTTTGATTATGTGAATCTTTCACCCGGCTGCATGAGCACAGAGATCTATGACTGATACTTGTATGGAACAAATAATTCAAATAATGCTCTGAGGTATATGATACTAAAATTCCAGCAAGAAGCCCAAAAAGATTAGTGGTAATTCTTTAGGCCCCTATAGTAATGATACACTCTTTGAAGACCGTGATGGTGCACTGTCTCGGGGGGAGCATCCTCCGTCCATTTATGGCTGATGGTCCAAGGAAAAGCGCGACAGGGGCTTTCAATCATCAGACTGGCACTTGGCTTCGGATTTGGCATGGGGTGTGAAGTGGGCAAAGCAAGACGAGCTCTTGAGGCTTTTGCGTGTGTAGGAGGCATTGTTATACGGGAATTCCAGAGCGCAGCCTTCGATCATACCCTGAGGCTCCAAAACCTCGATTCGACTTGTCTGGTGAACCCAGATCCCAAATCTTAAACCTGCACACAAGCCCCAAATCATAAGCTGTCTAAATCCCAAACATAAACTGCAGGTGAAAGTCATGTCGTCTAAGGCCGGGATCGGAAAGAAGCCGCCTTTGCAAGCAAGGACTGCAGGCTTGAAGAGCTTGGGGGGGTTTAATGTAGGAGCCTGAGTTTATGGGTGGTTGTCAATATTATGGCCCCTTTTGGGGTCTCTACTATAGCACGGCACCTGTTTCTTTAGGGTACCCAAAAAGAGACCCTGATTTCGACAACCACCCATCTAAGAAACCTTGGGCCTTCATTAGGGTTCCTTTGAACCCTATGAGTTTGGGCTTATAGGCCCAGGGCTTCTGAATCAGGCTCCTACATTAGGGTTTCAGCCTGGGTTCCAAAAAAGTTGTTTCGCTCTCGGGATTTATAAAATTTGTTCGGGGTTTAGAAGACTTCTTGGCGTGTCTCCGAAAAGCAGCCTAAAGAAAGGTGGCCCTGAAGATCTTCCACACTCCAGCCCATTCTTCGACCTTCCAGTTCAGCCCTACTACCCAGAGACCCCAACGTAGTTCCTTTTTGGGGTCATATATCGAATCCTATAAGGTAATCCCAAAAAAAGAACTGCTTTGGGGCCTCTGGGTAGCCCGGTGGAGTTCTTTCCCTTTCAAACTGTCGGGCTTAGGGTTTCGGCGTTAGGGTTTAGGGTTCAGGGAAGCTTAGTAGTTTCCACGTGCACACATAGGTTTGCTAGAACCTTCTGCAGAGCTCTGAAATTCAAACTGGAATGCCTCGGGCCAGGCCCCCCGCCCTGGCCTTCGAACATACAGATGCTGTAGGCTGGGACAAAGAAGAAGTCCGCAACCTCGGGGTCCTTTGTCCTTGGAAGTCTTCTGACCCTGAGGGGGGCCCTGAAAGGGGACCTTGCGGTAATAAGCCTGTGCTAGCTTTGGGTTTACATGAGGGAGAGCTGGGGCTCAGTAAGCTTTTGAAGCAGGGCCCTACAGCTATGCCTGCCACTCCAACCCACAACCAAGTACCTAGCACATAGACCAAGATTTGCAGCCTCCAACACTAAACCCCTCAAATTTACATATCCTCCAACCCTAAACCCTAAACCCCCGAACCCTGTGATTTGCATCCTCCTGCCTAAACCGAAAATCAACTGGGTTCTTTGTAAGGAATTCAACTTAAGTTACCAGACTAGAGATCTAGAGTAAATAATACGGTTTCCTTATTATGGTAACTTACACTACATTCCTAAAGATACCAGAATAGAGATCTAGTGTAAATAATATGGTTTCCTCATTATGGTAACTTGCACTACATTCCTAAAGATACCAGAATAGAGATCTAGTGTAAATAATATGGTTTCCTTATTATGGTAATGTACTACAATAAACTACCTATAGTCTCCACTGTAGTTCCTTTTTCGGTTGAACCAAATATGTAATTAGGATCCAATAAGGTGACCCCAAAAAGGAACTACAATGGAGACTATAGGTAAATTCCCTAAATGTAGAACCCAATCAACTAAGAGCTGAGCAAGTAGGGGCTGGCCAGCAGCCACTCGTGAATGTGGACCTCGGGGCGGACCGACCCAGGATAGAGACCTTAAAACTGAATAACCTACCTTTTTAGGGTTCCTTATTATGATTTCGTTATATAAGCCCTTAAAATGGTGGGTTCTTCAGGATTAAGGTAGGGTTTAGAATTTAGGATCCTATGCCTTAGGGGTCTTTCAGGTGAGAGGTTTGGAACTTCGCCCTCTCAAGGCTTCGGGACTTTGCGTGATTGCCGCCTCTAGGATGTCGTCGTATCTCTTATGGTAGGCTACCCAGAAGCCCCTAAGTCGTTCCTTTTTGGGATTACCTTAAGGATTCTATATATGAACCCCAAAAAGGAACTACTTTGGGGTCTCTGGGTATTGGGATCATGTAGGGGCCTTCATAAGAAGAATAGGCTTATGGGTTTCCTTGTTATGACTATAGGATGCAATACCCCCCAACCCCTACTCTAATTGTTAAGGCCCCTACATTGATGCCAATGGAAGAATGGACATTACTGTATGTGAATAGCCATGCGCGAAGGAGGCTTGAATCAAAACCTTTGCAGACGAGTCAGCAAGGACCGCCTTGTGAGGCAAAACCACGGGAGAGACGACTGGAAGCATGCCTGCTGTTGCTATGGGCACCGGACCTGGTTCTTAGCTGGGTCACATCCACAGTCATAGCCGGTGCGCCTCCATCCCCCACTGGCCCTTGCCACAGAAGGAGCCACCCTGTGAGAGCTCGCGCACCATCTCCTCATATAGAAGAGCTAACTTCAGAATGCGCAGCATCACAACAGGTGGCGTTTATGTGATGTGTGTGTAACCCGAAAGACTTCCAGCCATGTGGACTCTTAGGGGCTCAGTCCTTCGAGCAGTCCTTCGAGCATAGTTATAGGGATACCTATATGCAATGTAGTTCCCCCTTGTTGGTGAAGCCCAATCCACTGTATATCTAAGATTCTATGAGGTAACCCTAAAGACCATAGGCAGACTCCATAGGTGGACCCAGAAGAGTTTACCATCCATCCGCGGCGGACTCAGAATGTTAGACAGGAGGCAATGTCGTGTTCGTAGACATAGATCGCCGGTCTCCTGCCTGGGTCCTGCAGGGCATGTGCTCATGGACTATCTTCAACACCAAAAAAGCACAAGCCAAATCGAAAAAAATGTAAAGATTATAAAGCCGATCATCCAGCGAAGAACCATTCTGCGCAGACTTTCTCCAGAATCCAAAGTTCGAACTCGAAACTTTGTCAGTCATTCCCCCTGCATCATCTTGACTCTCAACCTACCCTAAACCATAAACCCCCCTTTGCAAAGCCCTTCCTGAACCCAAATCCCCCAACCCTGAACCCCCAAAAGCCAGAGATTTTTCCCTAAACCCTAACCCTGAACCCCAAAACGCCCCAGATTTCCCTGAACCTAAACAAAACTCAAAACCTGAACTCTAAACTTAAAACCCTAAACAAACTTTAAATCCTGATCCCCAAACTTTTCAAAAAACCCTGAACCACCCCAACCCTCCCATGGGGTCCCCTTTGCCCGGCCGCAGCCGACCCAACAGCGCCCGTCGGAGGGCCGAGAGCCGCGCGTCTTTCACGAGCCAGTCGGACCTATCTGGGAGATTCCGAACACTACTTAAAGGATCATGGGACTTAGTAACTAGGGTTATAAGTAGGGTAACTATACTTATAACTACTTACAACCCCAATTAAGGTGCTTATAACCTTACTTACTAAGTCCCATGATCCTCCAAGTAGGGGTACCTTACTTGGGGTATTATATTAAGGGTCCGAGCATTTTTGGTACTATATTAGGGTCCCCTATTTCGCATCTATCCGTTTCTGTTTTCGGTTTAGGCATGCACAGTTTAAGGGTTTGAGGGTTCAGGGGTTTACGCTCTCGCAACTCGGACAGCCGGACGAGGTCACTCGGTTCTGTACGGTTTAGGGGTTTACGGTTTGAGGGTTTAAGGCCGTCGGCTTTATGGCATCGGCATGGGATTTCCTACAAGGGCACCCATATTGAAAACAGGAGTTAAGGATTTAGGGGGCTGGAGGGGTTTCGGGTTTAGGGGACTATAATGGCTGCGACAAGGACTCAAGGGAAGAAAGGTTTCGGCTCGAGCGCCCGGCAATGTTAGCAAAGGATTCCATGCTGTTTGAGTCGATACACCAGCTTAAGGACCATCAAATTAAGGTTTAGGAGTACTCGAAGTAACACCACTGATGCAATGCAAAATTAAGGATAGACTGGGTTCTTCTGGCTCCTGCTTGTGGTTTGGGGTCCAAGGCACAACATCCTCTACATCGGTTGTCATCCCTGCAGCATGCAAGTCACGAACCTCAAGCCTTCAGGCACGAAGGGCCCTGAACATGCATGCATTGACCTCTGCGCTGAACTCAGGCCCCTTAGCCGCCTGCATTTCTGGGCCATCTGAGATCGAGAACAAGTGGCTGTTCAATTCAAAGACCGTTGCTCATGCGAAACATCTTAACCATGCCGACGCATGTGCACCATCATTGCGATTCGGGAGTTTCCGAGAGTAGGGGACCCGAATATAGTACCCTACATAGTATGATCCTTTTTAAAAGGCCCCCAGAATAAGGTAGCCCTAGTTTTCGGAAACTCCCAGTGGTAGACGAGCAGATCCGATTGCGATGGGCTGCTCTTTTACCGATGTTCTGACTGTCTGCAGGCGTCATGTTACCTGCTGCTCTATGACCCCAACCAGCAATAGTGTCACCTTGTCCCTGGTCAGTATACTTGAATATACCCCCCCCCAATACCCCAATTCACAAGGAGGTCATCTGTAAGAACCGTGCCATGTCTTGGTGGTTTAGGGTTTAGTATAAGGCTCAGCGTACGACTCATGTTTCCGGCTCCTACTTATCTATTCATTTTGTTTGCCACGCCTGTCGAGGAGGTGTGGGTGAATGCCGCTGGAGAAAGCATCCAGCTGCGAGTAGTACTGCCGCGCTAGAGTGAGATGCGGCTTCGTGGACTCGATGAGGTACTTCCTGAAGCTTTCTTTCAACATCTGCGGACATCCACCCTTCGCTTGCAGACACTACCCTGACCTTAAAACTGCCCTTTTTGAGCACAACCCCAAGCCCTAAACAAAAAACCCTATACCCCCCTAAACCCGTCTAAACCCTAAAACCCCTCAAACCCTAGACCCTAAACCCTAAACCTAAAACCCCTCAAACCCTAGACCCTAAAACCCCTCAAACCCTAGACCCTAAACCCTAAACCCGTCTAAACCCTAAAACCCGTCTAAACCCTAAAACCCCTCAAACCCTAAACCCTATAAACCCTAAACCCGTCTAAACCCTAAAACCCGTCTAAACCCTAAAACCCCTCAGACCCTAAACCCTAAACCCTAGACCCTAAACCCGTCTAAACCCTCAAACCCCTCAAACCCTAGACCCTAAACCCTAAACCCTAGACCCTAAACCCGTCTAAACCCTCAAACCCCTCAAACCCTAGACCCTAAACCCTAAACCCTAGACCCTAAACCCTAAACCCTCAAACCCCTAAAACCTCTCAAACCCTAGACCCCCCTTTTTTAACCCCAAACGAGCCAAGCAAGGGCCTTTGGGCTCGGCTGCTCTTGAGCCATAGGGCTCTAGAGTCAATCAGCAGCCTTACAATCCTACGAAAATAAACTATGGCGATACTATACATATATATATATATATATATATATAAATATATATATATATATATATAACATAACATACTATTATACAGCTCTGAATACGCTATGACGTTACTATAAATATACTGTGCCGTATTATAACATACTCTTATATCTATATAGCTCTGGCCTTGGATCTCGGCCACCCCAACGTGGGAGTCTGGGTAATAAGCAAGCGCCAAAGCAGGAGGCACGATTGAAGACAAATGTGTGTGTGTGTGTATACATAATAAACGTGTCTTTAAAAGTGCATATGTACATCCGTACTCGACTTGGCTAATTAACTTTATATGAATAACTCAATCAATTATTTGAGCACGGAACACCTGATAGCATTCGCAATCAGATCCCGTCACAAGCAAGGGTCGCCGAGCCTGTAAGCCGCGGTTTTCGGCGCTCACACTCGGACAATCCGGGCGAGGCATGTGGTTCGAGGTCTGTTGAGTGAAACGATCTAGTGGGAATAATTCTGAGCATAGCTACAGAGTTAAGAGTAACGGAACAGCCGCGGTTTTGGGGTTCAGGGCTTAGGGTACATCAATGAACAGGCTCTCAACACAAGATCCAGTCTTGCTCCAAGCTTCACGAAGAAGAAGTACACGGCCACGACTCCGAAAACGCAGTGTGTCGCCTCAGCTTCGGAACGATGCTTGCTGGAGTGCCCTCAAGTGAACCTAGCATAGAACCCTACAATACATGTTCACAGCAAGCTTTTTCGGGGTGCCCTGCATCTTGAGATCCCCCAACTCTAAGACAGCGAATGCGGGATTCTGAGATGTGTTTGGGCTTGCACGTTGCCATTCAACTATCGTCTCCGCAGCTCAGGAGCAGCAAAATCCAGTTCGTGCGGATTCTCCAACCGTGTCATCAGAGGCCCGATCGCCGCCATGCTCTCTGGAAAGGGGATCTGGAGCAGCTGGAACCTGCTTAGGGATGTTTACGTCTAGGGTCGTGGATTTCGGGGTGCAGCACCCAGATTTCGGCTTGGAGTGTGACATGAGGCTGGGCAACTGACAGAACTCCTCCCTGGCCATGACTTCTTGAACGATGCTGTGCACAGTGCCAGTTCTCTTGATGTCGTAGCGAATTTGCCCGTCTGTCTGATTGTCTTCCTTTCTTCTCTCGCTCTCGCTTTCGCTCTCCCCCTCCCCCCTCCTCTGCCCTGTCGTTCTCACTCTCGCTCTCCCTCTCCCCTTCTCATCTTTCTCTCTCCCTCTCTCCCTCCCGCTCTCTTTCCCCCCTCTCGCCCCGCTCTCGCCCACATCTCGCCCTCTCTCTCTCTCTCTCTCTCTCTCTCTCTCTCTCTCTATCTCTCTCTCTCTCTCTCTCTCTCTCTCTCTCTCTCTCTCTCTCTCTCTCTCTCTCTTCTCTCTCTCTCTCTCTCTCTCTCTCTCTCTCTCTCTCTCTCTCTCTCTCTCTCTCTCTCTCTCTCTCTCTCTCTCTCTCTCTCTCTCTCTCTCTCTCTCTCTCTCTCTCTCTCTCTCTCTCCGTCTCTGACGCTCTCGCCCTGGTGTTTCAGGGAGCCAGGAGAGCGCTTCGCATTATGGTATTGGGCCCTGCAGCTTGAAAATCCCGGGATGCTGAACATCCGACATCCCGATGCTCAATACCGTAAGCTGGCAAGAGGACAAACACAATCGAATTCCATATCCCCTCAAACCTCTAAGGCCGGTTTTGTCCAAGCCACCGCACAACATCCCAATCGATTCCCTCACTGGTGTTGGCGGTCCTTTCGCAGTTGGGATCATTCCAAATCCTGCGCCAAGGCTGCATATGGGTCGTGGGGAATAAGACGGGATGTGTGGTGCCCTCTTACTGCGACTACAGTGTAGCGAAACTCTACTCGGATGCACAATGAGGCGACACGTAGTGCCAAAAGCAGGCTCAGATCAGAAGTCAGCATACGCATCAACCTAGATATACATGTAAATATACACATACATACCTACATCAAAAATATACACTTGAAAATGTTATATATACATATATATATATATATACACCGAGAGAGAGAGAGAGAGAGAGAGAGAGAGAGAGAGAGAGAGAGAGAGAGAGAGAGAGAGAGAGAGAGAGAGAGAGAGAGGGGGGGAGAGAGAGACTCTTTTAGCCACGGCCTGTCAGCTTCATCCTCCGAAGCTTTGAACGATTGTCCGTCCACCTGGCTTCTTCTAGTGTAAGCTGCAATAACCAGGAAACAGTACCTTTACTATAGATTCCACTGACTTAAATGAAACCCCGTATAATAGCAAGAACCGAGCAACGCCCCAGGCAGTCGGCAAGCGCAGAAGTGCGCACGCTAGAGCCCATCGGCGCATGCCAGACCCACTGCTGAAGTGTAAAGAGCACCGTCCCCGGCGATGTTGTCAACCGAAACGGGTCATGTGGACTTGTCTATTCTGAGACGCTACGTGGACTTCATGACGGGCTATAGATGAGTTCGGGGAAGCCTTGTCGCAAAACTGTCGCCAATCCTGGCGTCCTACAGATGGTCTGGTGAGAGTTAGGTTGTTAGGGGAGTGGGCTGCTCATGTGACGCACTGACATGGTCAGAAAGGTGTTTCCATCAAGCGCACCAGATTTGAACCAAGCTGGTCAGGGACATGTATGTACGTATGTATATATATATATATGTATATCTATACACATACATATTACCATATGCATGTATATGTATGTATGTACACATACGGCACCATGATGCAGTCTACGGCCGGTCGTCAAGTCTCTTCTCGGGTCGCATAAGGGCTGGATGAAAACCAGCTGCACGCTACAAGATAAGGAAGCTGTGCGAGCTTGCAACTGTCGCCCCACTCAACCCCAACCCAATCTCGTGAATCTCCCTTTGAAGTCGGAGGGAGCTTTCGATTTACAGGCGCGTACCTTCAAACCCCATGCAGACCCTAAGATGTGTGACATGCCCTTTGGGCAAGACCTGCGCTGCATCGACAGAAATGCCCGGGTCACCCAAACCTTTTTGCCGCGTCGGCACTTTCTTCTGCGAGTAGGCCCAGGGACCAGAGCCAACACAAGAACCCGATTTACTGGCAGAAGGTTTTGGGAATTTTCGAGCATCTTGAGGGTTTTCAGTTTAACTATGATGCTTCATGATGTACATTGAAACCGTACATGTTTGCATACAGACACACACAGACACACGTATACATACATATATATGTATATATATATATATGGTTGTATAGCCACGTACGGCTTATGGAGAGGCAGATCAATCTCGCTGATTGGGGCGGTTGCTACGAGGCTGCTCTGGTTGCTACCTACTACACTACTACTACTACTACTACTACTACTACTACTACTACTACTACTACTACTACTACTACTACTACTACTACTACTACTACTACTACTACTACTACTACTACTACTACCTACTGCTACCTACTGCTACTACTGCTACTACTGCTACTACTGCTACTACTGCTACTACTGCTACTGCTACTGCTACTACTACTACTACTACTGCTGCTGCTACCCTTCGTGCTCTCCCATGAACGTTCTGACAGCCCTAGTACTGTAACACAACACTTCGAACACAACATTTCCATTGATATAGACATGGTTATCTACTGCACACAGGCGCAAGCTGACTCTAATCCCTAAAGGTAGGTCCCCGGGTTCCGAAGCTTCAGATGGACATCATCGATCTTCTGCAGCACCTCCTCAGAGAGGCCCTCGGCACCTTCTGCATCGACTTTGTGAAAAGATTCGTTTAAGACCTGCTTCTTAAAGGTTTAATTATGGTTTCTCTCTCTCTCTCTCTCCCTCTGCCGTTGCGTCCATTTTTGACCTGCCTGTTAAAGGTTTATGGTCTCTCTCTCTCTCTCTCTGCCGTTGCATCCAGAGGTTTATGGTTTGTAGTTCGGGATTTAGCGTTGAGAGCTCAGGGTTCGGGGCGTCGGATGAACAGCTGTCGGGTTCAAAATCTGGTGACTGAGATGTGTGACTCGGAGCCGGGGGCCCTGAAATCTAACGCATGCGCATGAAGAACAGGCATGGCTGGGAAAGTTGCACCATTTTATGTGTTGCAAGGGTTCAATAGGGATACCATCAAGGCAAACCCCCGATGAATAGCCTCCTTTCCATTTCAAAGGCTTATTAGTATGAATGCCTTTAAAGAAAAACAGTCTTGTTTTGATCAGGGGCCTACCCATAGGCCCCAAAGTAGTTCCTTTTGGGGATTACCTTATAAGGTTCTTTTTATGAGCCCCAGAATTAAGGAACTACAATGGAGACTATAGGTACATTGTTCTTGGACCCTTGGCCTTCGAAAGCGTCGAGGTTCTCCTTCAGCTGTTCGACAGAGGTCGCCCCAATGATCACCTCGTGAGGATGTCGAGGGAGCTTGATAGGGTGTTTAATGAAAGCGTTTAACTGTACCTTTTCAGGAGCAGATCCCTTCGGCTCACTTCTTCGCTTTTTTATGTTCGCGCGCTCGAACCAGCCACATCCAGATGAGGCTCTAAAAATAGGTTAGGGTTTCGAGGCACCCGCGGGGTAGTGCCTAGAGCCGGCGTAGTATGCTCCAGCATGGGATGTGTTCAGCTATCCCCACATTATCTTCACCAGAAGTGCATGGAGCAATCCAAGATAATCACGAAACCTTGACGTCTGCATCGGCTTCTCGTTCTTGTTCCTCTTTTATGTGGGGGTTTCCAAAAATGGGGGACCCTAATATAGCACCCTCAAGAATAGGATCTTTATAATACGGACCCCAAAATTCGGTACCCCTAATTTTCGGAAACTGGAAACTCCCATGTTTTTTTGTCCCAAAACTGCCTCTCCGATCGCAAGCACCAGCTACCGGACGTCCCCGTGCTCCTTTTCCCACGCCGCCGCTCAATCATTGAAAGCGAGCCGGGGGACGACGTTTACTCGTCATTGCATGGAGTAAATTTCTTTTTTACTCACAAACGAACTTAAGCCCATCCCCCAAACCCAAAAGCTACAGCCCAAAGCCATGCCGAACCTTCGAGCTCTTCGGCCATCCCTAACTTCATGCCAGGTGGCTGAGCCATGCTTGCAATAGGAACCTAAGTCTCTTGGAGCTTGAGCTGGGATGAGAGTACGAAGCAGATCAAACAACGGACACGAGTCGCACCGGCAGCCGGTTCCCCAGGGCCTTCTAATTTAGGCTTGGTTTTGCCAGGGTGTATACCTGTCTTTTCGGTTACATTAACAGTGTTCTTTTTCGCTGGTGAGGGTCCCCGCGTTTCGGGCCTGCTGCGACGACTTCCGGCTTTCCCCTGCCTGCCTTCCTTGAATCAGGGTTTCATCTTCGGGGCGACTTTATCAGGGCTTGTTCTGCATTCCTCTCTTCAGGGTTTTCATCTTCGGGACCACATAATTACAGCCGCTAAATCCTGCACGAAACCCCTGAAGTGAACAGGTTTTATTTTAAAAACTTATGCACCGTATGAAGGCCCCACTATTACTGTACTGGAGCCCGCACAACAACCAGAACAACCGACACCAAACAGGAAAACGAGACAGTTAACACAAAAAAGGCACAGCTGACCCACTAAACCGAGGCGCGCGTGCGACACCAGCGCGTGGAGAGATCTGTCAGGGACATGCCTGCTTCCTGCTTCGTGGGACTCTGAAAGTTCAGGATGTGGGGTTTGGAAGTTTGGGGTTTCTGGATTTCGGGATTGCCCCCTACTGCCACCTTTTCAGGTGAAGTGCTTGCCTCGAGAACATGAGATGCTGAAAGCATGGTGGTTTAGGGTTTAGGGGTTTAGGGTTTCTAGGGGGTTTAGGGGTTTAGGGTTCAGGGTCAGCAGTTCAGGGATGCCTTGTCCTTTTCCACAGCGCTGAACCTGAATTTAACCCTTTCTGGGTTGGCGAATCATTGGTGTTCGAATCTGGTGTTCGAAGTCACAGATCCTACGTGATCCTACACCCAAACAAGGAACTACATTGTATACGCTAAGCCCTTTGAACAGCCCTCGAAACTGCCTCAATGAATCCCGAACCCTCCTCCGCGATCTTGGCATAAGCCTCGACGGCCTCATTCAGTTCCTAAGCTGTCTCTTGCAAGCCAATTTCTAAGTTCGTTCACTAGACCCGGAAAGGGTGTAATTTTGGAGTGGAGGATAAAGACTGGAAGGAGGACATATCTTGAGATTTAGGTCGAGCAGCTTGCAGGTCGGATTCAAGGTCTCATGTCTGCATGGAGAGTGGGACAACATCCGGCTCTGGTGCTACATCTGGGGGTTTCCGAAAATAGGGGACCCTTATATAGTACCCCTAATAGTAGGATCCTTATTAATAGGACCCCAATATCAGGTACCCCTTATTTTCGGAAACTCCCATCTTGTTTCTGTACCAGGCTGTCCGGGCTGCAGTCTCCTGGTCGCACGAATTATGATTCAGAATAATAATTGAAGTCTAGGGTTTAGGGTTTAGGGATTTAGGGTTTCCTAAACCCTTTAAAAATCTTTTGCAGTTAGCAATCGAGCAAATAGTTACTGAAGCGATCCATGGCACAGGAAGTCCTTTCGAAGGAGTCCACCTGGCGCTTCCCCGAAAGGAGTGCATCACTATGTCAGTACCCAGACCTTCCAATATCCCTCGATTAAGGGTTTTACCGCAAATCATACTAGGGATTCGACTATTATTCAAGGTGTTCTCCTTAATCGGCACTATTAAAGTCAAGAAGAGCCTCTCTTGCCTTGGGCTTAGGGTTCCTGTCAGGGCACTAGCAGGGTTTCTATAAGGGGTTGGATGGGGGTACTTGCTTCGCACGGCTTTTACCGAGCGGTCTTCCAGCTATCGAGCTAAGGGCTTGTGCAGTAAAATGCCCAGGAGACTGCCGCGACTAAGGATCCACACGGCTGATGGAGAAAAATGATGTATTGATCCTCACTAACCCTTCCTCAAACGTAATTTTGTACAGTTCCCATAGGTTTAGGCCTTGCTGGAAGAAGGTTCCGACCATGTTATTGTGGCTTTGGGGACCTCGTTTCAGGAGAGGAGTCTGTCGGCCTTTAGCACACAGTTTCTTGACCTAAACCCTACCTATAGTCTCCATTGTAGTTCCTTTCTGGGGTTACCTTATAGGATCCTAATTATATATTTGGATAAACCAAAAAAGGAACTACAATGGAGACTATAGGTTGTACCAGGCCTTGACATGAATTCCGGATACTTCACATGCCGCGCAGTCTTCGGGGGCGCAGGCTTCCCTGGCAAATACTTCCCGCTGAGAAGGCCTGCGTGGAGAAGGTGCATATCAGTGTTTTGGCTTGGGGTTTGAGAGGCTAACAAGCGAACCTAAACCCCAAACATCTCTATACTGTGGCCCTCTAGCCTACAAACCCTAAACCCTAGACCCTAAAGTTGCACCCTCTCTTGTGGTCGATGTTGTCCATTATCTCTTCGGCTTGCGCAGCCGGGCGAGGCTCCTCAGCATTGTTCTACCGCAAGGAGCCTGAAGACTTAGAGCAGTCTGCCTCTTTTGAAGGTTCAGTATACATATAGTCATATAGTCTCCATTCTAGTTCCTTTTTGGGGTTACCTTATAGAATCGTAATTATATAGTTGGTTAAACCAAAAAATGAACTACAATGGAGACTATAGGTAGGGTCCGTAGTAAAAAAAGTAGCGGGGGATATCTAAGCCGGTGACCTTCGTCGAAGTAGACAGGATGCATCGACCATTTTCCACAACTGCAAGGAACAAGCATCCTCGCTGGAACAACTTTTGTGCTTGGATTTTTAATCGCTCCTATTCAGCTACTCAGCTCTTCTGCATCCAGGACGGAACCCAGCTCTGGCATGCCCTCTGGGATACCGCTACTTTCGTTGCTCCAAAACCAGACTCGCCACAGCTTGCGCTCTGTCGCGCCCTGATAGCCTTCCCGGCCATGGAGCATCCGATAGTTGTCGATCACCAGAGCTTCCCCCTCTCGCACCATGAATCGCGGAGCCGCAGCAGCCTCCCTCTGAACAGCAGCATCAGCAGCCTCAAGCAGTTCAGCCACTTCGCGCTGATGGGCATCTCCTCCGCCGGCTGATCCCAAGGCGCTCCACAAGCTCTGGTAGGGGCGCAGGGTGGAACGAAGCCCACCATCTTCGTCTACTGCATCCTCACACGCGAGGACGGAGACCTGCCGGTGAAAACGGAGTCTCTGATGTTGGTGCCACATAAGTGGAGCAGTAAACTTCCGACCATTCACATAACCTGGCGGAGATCGCTCGGTCAAATCGACCGTCTGAGTCCTAACCAGCAAGCAAACGTCAAGCGACGGTGCATCTGCAGTGCCGCTTTTCTCGCACAACCTTTCAAGAACCTTGTTTCCGTCCACGACAAAGTTCTGGCCACCAGCGTCGCTTTGGGATTCGACCACGAAAGCAATGTAGTCCGGAAGAAACTCGCCATAAATGTATCCGTCTGTGTGGGGGAGAAGAGGCTTGCCCACGAGCTCGAAAGGATTCGTCGTCAAGTTCTGCTTCAAGTGCTGATGCTCAAGGTGGATTCCTTGCACCTTCGGTGTCTTCGAGACCAGACGGCCGGGAAAAGTAAGGGACGGCAAGGCAGCCGCCTTCTCTTCCCATGTACCGCCCGTGTGCTGCACGCCGGTCACGATCACGGCACCATCTGATTCCAGTGCCTCATGCATCGCCTTCAGCTCATGAAGTCCTACCCGCCGGGGACCTTCGGAGCAGCTGTCCTCGGATCGTGGGAGAGCTGGCAGGAGAAGAGGCAGCCAAACATATCTACACAGGCCCTGCAGAAACATTGGCAAATCGATGTCGGTTTATTTACGAAGAGGCAGGCCTTGAGCCATGCAACGGCCAACATGTTGCAGGCAAACAGCTTTGAGAAGCCCAGAAACTCCTTGAGGGATCCTGAAACCTCTTATAAAATAAGCTTTCAAAGGCTCTGGTGTAGGGGCATCAGAATAGGATTTGGAAATATCCATTATACAGTTGTATATATTTGCTTGTGCATTTTCACCGATTTATGTTGATGGCAGAAGGATGGGAAGGACGTGTATTGCTACGTACTCAGGCTTCAGAACTGGGGCTACCCAGGCCTCCTGCAAGGATCGAGTACGCCATCAAGCCAATGTTCAGGTTGCGTTCTGAACAGGCCTCGGCCTGAGTGTAGTGGCTTAGGGTTAGTATTCAAGGGTCTCCGGGTTTAGGGTTAGTGGCCCCAGCGTTAGAGTCGGGTCCCTCTGAGGGCAATAGTGAAGGATTCTATGTGCTTAGATATCGATGAACTGAAAACTTGAATGGGAGCTTTGGAGGCCTTATAGCATAAACTTATATAGGGTTTAGGGTTTAGGGGTTTAGGGTTTAGGGGTTTAGGGTTTAGGGTTTAGGGGTTTAGGGTTTAGGGGTTTAGGGTTTAGGGTTTAGGGGGATGATATGTTAAGAAGGTTCGGGGCGAGGGAGTCCAGGGGGTGTAGGACTCCGGGTACAGTTCTGCTCTATAGCTTAAGGTCGTGTAGTTGGCATGATGCTTACTACGGAAATCATTAGTCCTTAGTCCTAGAGGTTCCTACTATCATATACCGCCAATCCCTTCCCCAATTACTTATGAAGGCCACGATAATTAGAAAAGCCAGCACTAAGGCCTCGACCAACTCATACTCAAAGAGGCGGACGACCATCGACAGCGCATTTTGGATACCTAGGCAATGCTGCGATGCGCACTGCTATACAGCCATGCAGAGGTATAGAGGAGAAATTCCCCACAAGCCCGAACCCTATGCCCAAAACCCGTCACAAACCCTAAATCCTACATACCCCCTAGACCTGGAGGCTGCAGTGCTCGACTTAAGATGGAAGTCATGCGGCCCCTGCTAGAGAGCAACACTATTCCGCCCAGCTTCGGTAAGGAGATCCCGAGCAAGCATGGGCTATCGCGAACGGGAATACTCTAACGTTACGGATACTGGCGATGGGGCAATGGTGAACATTGATAATGAAGACGGCAGCCATTCGATAATAACAGCACCAATTTAAAACGGCGTCATGCTTCTTTCGGTTTGGGACGTCGTCCAGCTCACTGTGGGATGTCTGGAAGCTGTGGCAAAGCTACGATGCTCGTCTTGCTGTTACCTACATGATCTCCATACTTCTGATGCTTAAAGGCCCAAAGACCGGCCAAGGGAAACAACCGCAGATGAGACACTTGCAGGGGCTGGAATGCCCAGCTTGTCTGCAGCTCGTGCCCATTCACAGACGCCAAAAGTCGTCTCGTTCGACACGCCGTAAGCCTTGATCCTCAGTTGTTGGGGTTTAGGGCTTTTTGGTTGTAGGTTTTCTTTCCCTCTCGCATGGCTGAGAACTATGTTTGGGGATGCAGGTTTTAGGGGTAGGGGTATGAGAGGACAACCAAAAGAATGGCCCAGGCTCTTGCCAGCATCCAGCAGTTTCTTCATTGCTCCGGCTGTTTCCTTGCGGATTGTACCCGGGACGTCACTCCCAACTTACCCGTTACACTATATAGTATAGCATCACCATCTTCTTGCAACTCCAACCTTGGTGTGGTAGACTGGTAGCACGCAAATTGCGGCGAAGCCCGGCCTCGACTCGCACGGCTTCTCGTTCGCTTTCTGCTTTGTACCTCGATGCTTCCGCGTGGAAGGATCAAAACGCCAGGCCATCTTTCTGAATTCTCAGCCAAACGACAACAGAAGTACAGTGATTGTCAAAGCTGAGCCCCGGGAACAGTAGAAGTGGCCAAGGACGAGCAACGCAAAGCGGGCATCCTGATGCCTTGTTATCTTGCTCGTAGGTTATAGATTAGTATACAACGCAACAGGTCGGGGCTGATGGGCTCGTTTCGGAGAGCCTTCCGTGCTCGAAACAAATACAAGGCAACAGTATCCCTTAGAAGCTTCCGTCTCGAAGGGGTACCCTAACAGACCCGAACCTACGAAACCACCAACTCACCTCCGAACCTCGCCCGCTCGGTGAAAGCTTAGCAGTTGGCTTTGGGGCTGGAGGCCAAGATGCACAGTGCCGCCGAAGATAGGGACATATCGATCGGGCCAGTGAACTTGATAAAGGTCCTTGGCTCAGCGTGGCTTTGCCAATCTGCTTCATGCGAAGCGAAGAAACTGCATTGAAGCAGCACAGGCAGATAAAGGTCTTGCTCTCTTTCTCGCTGCTCTCTCTGTCTCTCTCCCGTATTTTTCTCTCGCTCTCTGCCTCTCCCTCTCTCTCTCGCTCTCTCTCTCCCCCTCCTCACCATATCAACCAGCTACAAGTACAACAAAAAAAATTGTTTAACGATACCTCCTTGTGAGTACGTGTACGTGTGTAGATGTGTGTACATGTATGTATCCTGCTTGCACCTTCTCTATAGGTGGACAGGTGAACGCGAAACTTACAGCTCTAGATGTGTTGAAAGCAAGCCCCTACCAGCCAACAGCAAAAAAACGGCATGCAAGTGCATGAAATATGTTTATGCATGGCATGTTGATTTCAATGCATTCGAATTCCACGACATTACAATACAAAACAGTAGTAATTACATATGTACAGAAACACACATCCGTCGATCCACCCCCCGAGTCACCCACCCATCCGCCCATCGGACCATCCGTCCGTCCGTCCGCCCATCCGTCCGTCCATCCGTACGTGAAAACATGCATACATACGTACATACAAGTGACCAACCATACGAACATACATACATACATGGATACATGGATACATACATACATACATGAATAATTTCATGCGTACATGCACACATGCAATCAAATGTATGCAGCAAACATGCGTAGATGCGTGCGTGTCTACATTATAAATATACGATTCAATCGATAGATAAATAGACCGGTAGATAGACATTGCGCAGATAGTTAGGCAGGTAGGTAGGCAGGCAAGCAGGCAGGTAGGTAGGGAGGTCGGTAGGTGGGCAGGGCAGATGGGTAGGTGGACAACTGGCTGGTTGGGTGGGTAGGTAGTTAAATTGAGAGAAAGATTGAAAGAGATAAAATATGCAGCCACACACAACGCACACTCCTAGCCTGATCCTAAGCTCGGCCCTAAACGTCTTGCACTCTAGACCTGGACAGCTACATAAACCCCCAAGCCCAGTATTCCAAACCCCCAAACCCGAAGCCTGAAATGTGCCAAAACTTAAGCCCTGCCCTCGCACCTCAAGTCCTAAATCGCACGTAAAGGCCACTTGGTGCTCTCTTTGAGATACACGGCCCTGTTCTTTCACGCGAGGGACGTATTTTCTGTCTTGTATAAGAAAAACTTAAGAAACCCTGGCCCTATAACCCCAAAATAGTAGGATTCATATATACAGGACCCTAATAAAGGCCCAAGGTTCCTTAATCAGGCTCCTACTAACCTAACTAAAGGCCCGGAGTCTAAACCCTCAACCCTGAACAAAAAAAGACCCAGAGTCGATACAGTCGGTCTTCAATCTTCGGAGCGACGCATCGCAGGCCTCCCTGCAGGGGAAAGATCCAAGAGTCAATGCTTACGGTTGCGGGGCTGACAAGATGCACTCTACTAGGGCTTGTGGGGTTCACCTAAATAGCTACAACCGAGGTTTTCTCCACTTTCTGTCCAGGCATTTTTAGATTTGGACCGGATTTTCAAGGGTGTCTTCTGATTGGGGCTAGCGTCGAGGATCGGGCCACTTGGTAAAGTGCGGTTACAAGGAGGGTCAACATCTTACACACAGCTAGCACCTGCTATAGTCACCCAGAGTACTTATAGCAAGCTTCTGTAAGGACTAATTACGAGGGCAGACGATTGCTAAACATTCAGACCTCCATATTGCGCTTCAACCGATCCAGGCAGCAATCCCGTGTTAATGCCACTCTTCATCTGTGTTCTCCGCAATATTCCAACCAATCGAACACATGAAAAGAGGCACACATAGTTGGACTAGGCTTTGATGCGGCTCAGAAATAAATAAACATATAAATATATATGTATATATACATATATACATATACACCTGTGTATATACACGCTTACCTGCATGTTTCTGTTTATATACAAAGCAAGGAGCCCAGCGCAATGATAATGTATACCAGGCGTTCGAACACCCATGATGACTATTCTACCCATGATGCATGACACTGGGGCACTGGCAAGACTGATTTTTCATCCAATCGACCATCAGGGTAGTCGTCGGCCTGGCAGACGATGGAGCTGTTCAACTTGGAGATGCCCCTTCAGAGGTCTTTATAACAAGGGTCATACTACTTATAGTGTTCCAAACTTTCTCGAGCGGGTTGAGGCGGGGCATCGACAGCCTGACTTGGCTTTTAGAGGCGGCAAGACAAGATTCGTTTGCCAGCATCTGTAACAATGCTACAACCAATATACTTCCAGACCCGGTGCCGGAGACACACTGCCACAGTATGACCCTACCTAGAGTCTCCAATGTAGTTCCGTTTTTTGGTTAACCAGTTTTATGTTTAGGAGCCTATAATAGAGATTTTGGTTAACAAAACAAAGAAACTACAATGGAGACTTTAGGTACATCCTTAACTCGAACTTCAAGTTGCTAAAGTAGGCAGGCCCGGTTCAGAAACCACCCCGTCAGGAGTATCGTTGCTCAGGATTAAGAACAACCGATCCTTACACCACTATGGCTCTAGATTTATGGCAATTATGGCAGTATGGAAAATCCCAAGACTATACAAAGAACTGAAAGAAGGTGAGCATTACTCTACACCCTAAACCCCTAAACCCCCCAAACTCCAAACATTACACCGTACATTACTGACACCAGCCTCCCCTTCGGGCAGCGTCCGGCGCGCAGCCACACGGGACTTTGGCCAGCGGCCGACCTCAGGATAGCACAGTCAGTAATATTGTTATGCGTCGGTTTTAGTTTGTTTATTACAACTGCAATTATGTAGTGTTAGGATGATGGTTAGTAGTAGTACCATTAGAAGTATCATTGTTGACTAGTGCAATCAGCAGTATCATTACCATTGCCATTATCAGTATTCATCTTGTTAATATCATTGAGGGTAGCAGGTTTTACAGGTCTCGCAGCTGGGAAGCTTGCAGGCATTTCCTTGTGGACCCTCTTCCGTCTGCACTAAGCAACACTGCCCTAAGGGGTTCTGGGTCTTAGTGTCTAGGGCTAAGGGTTTTTTTGCCTAAAGGTTTTAGTGTTCGGGAAGCCCTTAGCAACAAGAACATCAGCCATGTGTCCAATATAGGGGCCTTCATATTAGAATAGGGTTTTGGGAAATATTATACTAGAACTATATAACAAGGAAACCCCACAATAAACCCCAAACCTTAAACAATTATCCGGAGTTCTTCGTGGCTTGGCATCGTGCCCCCCTGAAACCGGCAAAGCGAGCCGCAGCAAGCCCACATGGGAGTTTCCGAAATAAGGGGGGTACCTTATTTTGGATCCGTATATTCATAACGATCCTACTATATAGAGTAATTGCTAAATTTGGGTCCCCTATTTTCGGAAACCCCGCATGTGTGTTAAAAGACAACCGTAACAGTTTCGGCCAACAACAGAAGAACACAATCTTTCGCACTGCCAGGCCTTCAGGTACTACTTGTGGTAAGTCACCAACGTAGGGCTGGGGAGGAGGGGGAAGCACCTGCTTCTTTCTTGCCGCTGATGCTTCCGCACGAGTCCAGCGTGGTGTCCGTCACCAATCCATGGATCTCACTTCAAATCCCGGGCTGCAGATCGACATCATGCTAAAGCAGCACATAAGACCTTCGCCCGGAACAGCTCCTTTGCAGATCATCATCGCCGGAGCACCTCACAGGCTATCGCCTCACGCTCCTTGACCTCGCGTCCGTCCCGCAGGCGCCAAGGGCCTTCAGCCCCCTCGCCTAGCAGTGCCACCGGGCGCAGTCGGCCAGCCGAGACGAATTGCTGCACAGCTCGGCGCACCCCTTCTTCTGCTCCATAATCATCGAAAACGATGAGACTGACGGTGGGGATTCTAAGACAGTTGTCAATATCTTGCATGACAGTTTCAAAATCATGAGATGCATCCAGGAATACAACCTGGATGGTGTTCAAGCTGAAGATGCCCCAGTCATGGTCGGTGGTGTGAAACCTGATGTACAGGATGTTGTCTCGATCATAGTTGTAGTCCCGGTTTGCCTGCAAGAGCTCAGGAACGGCATCAAGTGCGATCACTCGCTTGAAGAGATGACTGAGAACTCGAGTTGTATACCCAAAATAGGAGCCCACCTCGAGCACCGTCAAATTCTCGGAGATGCCTGCAACGAGTCCTATCAGGTCCTTCCGAAGGGCATCAGAGCTCGTCCATTCGTCCTCTGCTTTGTCCGGCAGGGCATCTGATCCTGCCATTCTTGCGCGAATGGAAGCTTGGTAGCGCTCCACGGCCTCTGCTGTCACCGTGGACCTGGGCGCCTCCTCCGCAGCCTCAAACTCCGAAGCTCCTGAAAAAAGAAGCAGAAAAGATAAAGGTACCTTGAGGATGGCCTGCCACTTTGGGCATGGCCTGCACATGAAGGAGCTCCTCTGTGAAGCTCTGTTTCCAGAAGCACCACAGGCTCTCTGATGCGAAGGCTTTGTGTGATTCTATCCTCGAGCCTGCAAGCGCGGCGAGCTTTCACTGGAGCTGTTTGCAAGCTCCTTCGACTGTGCACAGAAACTAGCATATCATGATATAATATACCCTGATACACGAGACCTTATACTGAAATATACCTATATGAATACATTACTGCAAACTATACTAGGTTACCAGCACCTGCACCCTAGTGGACTTGAACTCGGGTTCAAGCAGAACTCGCGACCAGAACCAGTATCCAGTAATTAATCTATTAGAAATGGTCTTAGGTTTAGGGATTTGGGGTTTTAGGGATTTTAGGGTCTTCAGCGTCTACAGTAATTATAGGGACCTATGCTGCTTCCTTTGCACCTGATAGCTGCAAGCCCCCGAACGACGGCTCACGACCAAGGAACCAATGGCTCGATAGACCGCTCTGCGACCTGATGCCGCTAAGCTGATTGCCGCACCCTACACCCAAAAGCCTGCACTCTCCGTACCCTGCTCCACGAGTTGCAAATCCACAGCGCCCTAGAGCCTATAAAGCCGTCCTACACCTCAGCCTAGCCTAGCCCAATGCCCTGAAGCCCTAGAGCCCCGAAACCTAGAACTTGAAACCTTGAAGCCATCTATGGGAGTTTCCGCAAATAGGGGATCCTAGTATCGTACCCTAAATAGTAGGATCCTTATTATAGGGACCCCAAAATAACGCACCCCCCAGTTTTCGCAAAAAAATCCCATATAGGCCCTAAATCCGAAAGCCCTGAAACCCACCAAACTCCGAGGATGTGGCGACCTTGGTGGCGAGCACCACCTGCTGATAGCAAGGGTTGCTTGTATAGTTTGTGTTGTATGTTTTTCCGATCTGCTAGTATAGGCTTTACAGTAGGGTGCAGGGCTTCTGGCTCTTTCAGGTTCTTCTCTAAAGGTTTTTTCCCATCACTTTGTCAATTCTTCTTCTACATCCTGTAGCCTGGGAGGACCTCGCGGGATTTAGAATGCTACCACCGCAAAACTTGCTTCATCCAGTTTCGAGTTTTTGGGCTTTGGGTACAGGGCCGAAATGGTTACTCTTTCCGGCAAACTTGGTAAGCATTCCTTTCAAGATTTGGGCCCCGTCACGAGAACCTAGTATAGCATTTATTGCAGTGTATACAACGCACTGGCTCTGCCACCTCAATAAGTGGAAAAAAGCTGATGCTGAAGCCCCACACATCTTACAACACCGATTTTCTCACGAGTTCTGCTGCATTACACCCTGAAGCCACTATGACGCCAGAGTGAAGGGCTTCTTGTGAGGTTTTACGACACCGGAAGCTTAGAAGGTGAAGCCCAGGCCAAGTCCACCAACGGGCTTCGGGGTTGAGGCGTGCAAAGGTCCGTGCTTAGGGTTAACTTCCTTCCCAGTCTTGAACCTTGTCGCGCAGGTCCGGATTCTTGTGCAGCCAGTTTCCAATGTACTCCTCCGTGGTGCCTCGCACTGCTACCCTTGGGGCCTAAATAATTACCAATACTATTGTGTGGGTTCCGCCCCAAAGCCCTATTCTAATTATTAAGGCCCCTATATTACCAATTTTTGGACTGCCTATGTTCATGAAGGGGTTAACACTCCGAGCCAAGGTTCAGAGGTTTTGAGTTACACATTGCCCCGAGTCCAACTCGTTTGCAGTGCTGCGAAAGGTCTCTTCTGCCGAATCGCTGGGGCGAGGAAACGAAGAATACTACCATGTAACAGACTGTAGATCCCTCACAACTCAGAGACTCCAATATCCCTTAATTAAGGAATATGCCATACATTAGAGTAGGATGCCTAAAATGATCTTAGGAAGATTCCGTAATTAATGGATACTGGAATCTCTGGGAACCCTGGTACGCAACCCCGAGACGGCAGTACCCTGGAGCAAACCGGCCTGGGCACCATTGCGGGTCGAAGTTGGGCACTGGATACATCTCTGCCGTGTCGATGAAGTTCACGCCTCGCCTCACGGTTTAGGGTTTAGGGGCGGAGTACTGTAGGTGCCTTAGCAACTGGAATAAGGTTATGGTAGTTCTGGTGTATCATACAAGCCATCGATACGAGAAAGCCCCCAACATAGTACTACCAAATCATCTGAGCTGTCTCTACATCTTCAGGCTTTAGTTCTAATAAGTCAAGAGCCGACGGAAGCCAGCTAGGGTTGAAAGTCACAGCCACAGCACATCTGCAGTCTACACGTTGGACCTGCTTCGGACACGACGCAGGAAGTCCGCACCCAGCTACCGCATATAGACATAGACATATATATATATATATATACGCACATAAATAAGCCGCCTGGGCACAACTGACATGCCATTCCACTGCCCGTACTTACGAAGCCATCGAACACACCTTAACTATGCACCCAGGTGCGTTTCAAACCTCCAGGACTTGACCCCACTTCGTTGTGGCTTGGGCATCGTGCCAGGGTGCTCTTTCACCGCGTAGTCGAGCTGTTCGTGGGCTTCAGCTTCGTCGTTTTGAACCTGAACTTCAAGCATCAGTCGAGCGGAAGTCACAGTCACAGCCGGATATGTCTACACTGGGTCTACACACGCACGCTTCCTTCCCGCTGGAGCCTGTTCTAAAACTCAACCTCCTGCCGGCCGGGCCCCCTACCAATTTCGAAATACCAAAGCCAAGCCGCACCCCAAGTCATCGTGCCCAGGCATGGCTCCGTCACGGTGAGCCTTATCGGAAACAGAAGGAAGAATCGAGGGCAAAGGAGAAGTCACACTAGAAGCAGGCAAAACCACCTAAGTCTCCATTGTAGTTCCTTTTTAGATTTAACAAAATATATAATAATTAGGATCCTATAAGGTCACCCCAAAAAGGAACTACAACGGAGACTATAGGCAGGTAGGAATTGCAGCAGCAGAAGGCGGGAGTCGGCTGAGCAGTAGTCCTAGTAGCAGCAGCAGGAGGAGCACTGTAGTCGTAGTAGTAGTAGTCGTCGTCGTCGTCGTGGTGGTCGTCGTCGGAGTAGCAGTAGCAGTAGCAGTAGCAGTAGCAGTAGCAGCAGCAGCAGCAGCAGCAGTAGCAGTAGCAGTAGCAGTAGCAGTAGCAGTAGCAGTAGCAGTAGCAGTAGCAGTAGCAGTAGCAGTAGCAGTAGCAGTAGCAGTAGGAGTAGTAGTAGTAGTAGTAGTAGTAGTAGTAGTAGTAGTAGTAGTAGTAGTAGTAGTAGTAGTAGTAGTAGTAAGTAGTAGTAGTAGTAGTAGTAGTAGTAGTAGTAGTAGTAGTAGTAGTAGTAGTAGTAGTAGTACGGTTGATGATATAAATCCTGCATGACCCATAATAAGGAATATACCATAATTCCCATAGTTTCGGGTCCTTAAGGTAATGCAGGATTTATATCATCAACAGTAGTAGTAGTAGTAGTAGTAGTAGTAGTAGTAGTAGTAGTAGTAGTAGTAGTAGTAGTAGTAGTAGTAGTCGTAGTCGTAGTCGTAGTCGTAGTAGTCGTAGTCGTAGTCGTCGTCGCAGTAGCAGTAGTAGCCCATGATATACCGCACTAGTAATCACTAGTATGTTTTTTGGGGGAGTCTCTGGCAAGGCCAAGTCAGGCCAGCGTCGAGCTCGATCCCAGCTTTCGCGTGACGAAGGCCGCCCGGCGCAGCCTGCACTGCCGGTTTCGCCAACCTCCGAGCGTGCAGGGTGCACAGTTTATAGGGTTGTTTCCCCCTCCTACTTCGCAACAACGAGGCCTGCATAGGGCTGTAGGGTTAAGGGTTTAGTCACTAAAGTCTCTCTATTATTTTCTCTTCCTCTCTGTCTCTCTCTCCCCCCTTTGCTCGGCCTCAGTCACCTGTCAGCTGCGACGCAGAACACAGCAGTCTCGCTTGAGAAAGCAGTCCCCAATAGTGAAAATTTGATATGTGAAAACGGAACTACAAATGAGTCGCCTACTCTGCAGCCGTTGCAGCCTTGGACACACGGAGTACAACGAAATCTGAAACCCTGATAGACAGAATAGTTCCGCGAGCTAGCCGACCCCTCTAAACTCTGTCAATCCCAAACCTTCTGCCAACCCCGGCCGGACAGGATCAACCACCTAGCTCGCTGAGCCCGTGTGGGGCTCATCTGCAGTCGGAAGGTAGTATTAGTTAGTCTGCTTGTTTGTTTATTTGTTCGTTTGTTATGTTGTCACTTTAGTTGTTTGCTTCTGTCTTTGTTTGTGTGGTTGCTTGGCTGTTCCTTGTTCGTTCGTTCGTTAACTAGCTACCATGTAGCTAGCTAGCTAGCTATTTCGCCAGATACAGGGATCGACTTGACGATCGACGGATGGACGGTTGGTTGGAGAGACATCTGTATGGAGACATGGAAGGAGGAGTAGAAAGGTACATAGCTGCAAACACTTACTGGGTGTGAACTCGAGGGACTTCAGGAGAAAGGCTCATGTGAGCTATTGCTGCCACAGCTGCCGACGGTGAGAAGGGACGTTGCAACCTCATAAGGATTTAGAGGCATGAATCTCCAAATCCCAAACACCATAGATTAAGGTCTTCATTAGTTGCATTCAAGATTCAACCGGGACTAACCGGAATTTGTTAGTAAGTATCCCTAAGCCGCAGCCTCCTAGTTACCCGTTCTTGTGGGCGCAGCCCCGAGGGGAGTCGTTCCTTCATCCCTGAACTCGACCCTAAATTATTGGATCCTTAAGGGAGGGTGGTTCAAGGGGGGAGGGTATAAGGAATCCTTAGGGGACTGTAGGGGAACCTTAGGGAGTACTAGGGAGAATTAGGGATCACTAGGCTATATACCCCCCTTGGACCCCCTCCCTTAAGGATACTACAATTAGGGTTTAGGGCCCCTTGAGAGCAGTTACTCTCAGACCTGATGGTGACGGTATAAACCCGATGGCACTTGCCAAAACTCCCTAAAACCTACGACCTGCGAGATGTGGCAAAGGCCGAGAACGCAACAACAAAAAATGCCCAACCACGTTTAAAACGATGAACTACTAGCCAGTGATTTTGGGGTTCCCTTGGCTCTTTAGCTCCTTATCTAATGGGGATTATCATCATCCCTGGCTCCTTAGCTCCTCCAATATGAATGGTTCGAATTAGATATTACAACAAGCCCGACAAAAACGAACAACCACACAATCAACAAACTGACATCAACCACAACTGAAGTTAGTCGGTGTCTTGACCAAGCAAGCTTTGAACTTCTCTCCATCTATCCGGCTGGCTAGTCTGAGCTCTATATTCACTGTGCTGAGTATGTTTAGCAGAGTCTAGGGCTGACAGAACCAGGCTCGCTTCATCTACAGGAGAACAGCGCATGACACCTCCAACCCACTCACTCCTAGTCCTTGCCTTACTTTTCCACGAGGGTTTAGGATTCAGGGTTCCTCAATTTGACAACTTGGGGTTCAGGCCTCCTAACCCCCGAACTCCCTTCAGGCGTGCCGCCACCGCCGCGGCGGAAGCCCGGGGCGCTCCCTTTGCCAGTGCCGGGCGTCGGACTTCGGGGAAAGCGCAAGGAGGAGCCGTGGCTCGAAGGGGCCTGAGCATGGGCGGTCGAATATAATCGAGGGGCCTCAATAATTAGAACAGGATATTTGGGGCCCATTATAATTACTACAAGTATAAGAAGGAACCACCAACGTAGTGTTGGTAATTATGTAGGCCCCTATAGTAGGCCTTGTCGATTTTACTGGGGTCTTGTGGTATGTTCTAGTGCAATTGAATTCAGGGGCTTTTAGGACCATCCAGGTTTAAAATTGAGGAATACATGAGGTGGTGTTTTTATATTTCTTCAAGCACCTTCTGTTCGCTATAGTGAATCATGGCCATTCACTGTCGGGTTGTAGTTGGAGCCCCTAAAAAATGACTGGGATATCGAAAAAACTTGCTCAGCAGCCACCTCACTATTTCTGATAGTTGGTGCATTGCATCGACTCCTCACAGTGCGAAACAAGGTCTCGAACAAAGGCAAGGCTGTTCTGCGATATCGTCGGTTGCGGTCTTTGGGCCTTGGATCAAACCCTTGTCAAACACACAGACCTTGCACCCACAACCGAACCCTCAATCGTCAAACACAGATCCCGAAGGAAAGCCAGGTGCTCGCCAGGGAATCCATCCTTCCGATCTGTCCGAATGCAGGCCGAAGCACGAAACGACTCCGAGGCCATGAAAGCGCTCCATGGCAGCAAAGGAATTATCGTACAAGACTCGAAGGAAAATGAGTGGAAAAGACTGGTGTTGCTATCTTGCTCGGATAAGAAACATCAAGCAGAATCCCGATCCTTCTCCATGCCCTCTGTTTCCCTCCCTTTCGTCGGATGACTCATGTTTCCAAGCTCTCAAAGCCACGAAAGCAAAGCACGGCTCTGAAAGGCGGCAGCTGGGTCTGTAGGCCGAGTGTGTGGGCTTCATAATCTAGTGCAATATTGCCTTGTACCATACTATGAGAGCTGATACCAAAGTGGTTCTTTCTTAGTACACTCTAGGGCTCTCTCTGAATATCAGGTCTTGGCGCTCACCAGGCCTTGCTATCAGAGTTCTTTTTAAATACTAACCCTCCTGCATGGCTGAGTACGCGTGGCATGGCAATAGGTCCATACAGTAGGGAATTCCGTTTTAGGAATTAGGGGTTTTGGTTTGTGGTTGTGAAATGAGCGTAAAGATAAGCCAGAGAGCCCAACACACCTCAACTAAGCAACACTGAGGGTTCAGGGTCTCGGAATGTCTCATATCACATGCAGGACCCCGTATTATGCAAATGGTTTAAAAGCTTCAAGGGAAATGCCCTACCATACCTTGTCCAGGCTTTTTTGACGGTTTCACTGTTTAGAGCTTGCTTGATCCTGTTCGCATAAGAATAGTACTCTAAAGCAGGAGTATCAGCTGCTACTGTCGCACGCGGCCTGCTATAACCAAGAGGGAAAGCAATCTCCTGCAACATAACCGACAGGGAAAGCGATCAAATGCACAATGTCCAAGTGATCTGCCAAGTCCAGCTGAGTGGCGTCGTAGGCATTCAGTTCCCTCTGAGGCACGATGACCTGACAAACGCTCCCTGTAGCACAAATCCTGCTCTGATTGTTCACAGACACCAAACATATCTCTGCGAAACAAACCGCTGTTGCGCAGAAACACCATCTGCATCGCTGGATAAAGATTCAAAGATTCAATGGCCCATGGCATACATGCCTTTTTATTGTTCTACCCACCAAGGTGGTTGGCTATGGTGCATCCCCGCTGGCACAGATTCGTGCCCCTCGTCACATCAAAGGGTACCCGACCATTTCGGACAATAAGAGCTTAGGCTGAACCCTCTCAAAGACCCAAACTATAAAAGTTGAATCCTAACACATCCAAAGCTAAAGCCTCACATCTTCGTAACACCCTACAGACTGTACACGTGACAAACCTATGAACCCAAACCCTTTACCCCAAAAACCTCAACCCTCCGATGCACCCATTCGAACCCCAAGCAGACGCTTCAAGTAACCTTGAAAGCAATTCCGTACAGCCCCTCAAACCTTATAGAGCTGAGGTACTGCATGAGGGTCCAAGGCATCGCCAGTGCGGGACGACAACGCCCGGGAGTTCAGAAGCAAGTGAATCATGGCATCCTGGTTGAAAGTGTTTTCGGGTTTCGACGCTCACACTCGCACCAGGCAGGCAAGGCTCCACATAGTCTACGGGTTTAAGGTTTGGAGTTAAGTGCTGTAGTTTGGGTACTGCCCCCCATACAGTAACAGTCCATAATAGGGATTCTAGAAAAGGCCTAATATATATATATATATATATATATATATATATATTGATGATGAATCTTGTCCAACTGTTATATACCGAGTGGGGGCAGCATCCAAGCTCTAGTGAAATCATGGCATCCTGATTTTGGGTTTAAAGTTCAGGGCTTCGGGCTTTAGTTCATCATGGCATCCTCGCCGATTCCCACTCGAGCTGCACAAGTTTGGGCAGGGCTCTACAGGCTTTGATAGGGTGTTTTTCATCTGTGGGTGTTGGTAGAGGGCCCGAATATTCACAATAGGGTTTGGTGATGTTTGGAGTAATCATATTTGTGCCCCATGATGACAGGAGTATGTTATCGGGGTAGGGCCTGAATCAGACGAAGGCGTTGGGGGAATATCATCTACTATGAGCGTACAAGGATCCGGAATACGAAAGAACGTGACAAACTGCTGCAGATATCCAATTCCAGCATTCATGTTGCGATCCGAAAATATCGGACCCTGAAGCTGCGTACGTCTCCCCTGCTTTGAAAATCTTTGGTTGCTCCGAAGACTGACCTGAGCGCTGAGCGGGCCCTATACCATATGCGAAGCTTCAGCTTTCTTGAAAAATGATCTCCGAGCGACCGAGGCCCCCCAAACAATGCGAGCTTGGCTTCTGAACATGCAAAACCTGAGGTATACCTCGCTTTGAGCTCTGCTTTGCTTTCGGAGCAGCCGCTCGTGGGAAACAGGCGCTTACACGATCGGCCTGTCTTAGAATCAAATCGAAGTCATAAGCGTATTTGCACGCTATCTCCACGTCCGATTCATAGGAAACATATTTCTCTTTAGCTACCATCTCTTCTGCTGCAGCAACATCTCGACCCAACACTCGTTGGGAGTTGGAGCACCCTCTTCAACCCCCGTGGCCCGTGATCCAACCCAGGCACCTGATCCCCAAACAGGGGCATGTCATCGTGGCAGAGTCGGAAGGCCCGCTCCAAGAATGCCTTTAGCTTAGAGTTTGGAGCTCAGGGTTTAGTGCTTCGGTGTTCAATTGAGGCCACGTTATTTATCGGTCCCGAAGCGGATGCCATTACTTGGGGTTCCGCAAAAACAGATGCGGTTTACTTTTCAGGGTTTCTTGACGTGTCAGGTTTCAGAACTGCCAGGCCTTCAAGAGCATGTGATGAGACCGTTTTGCGAGGAACCACTCAAAACAAAATGCACCTACCGCGAAAATCGGATTCCCGACCACACGCGACATTAGCTTTAAGCAAGCGCTATCTCAGCAAGCTACAGGCCTTGCAATTTACTCACAAGCTTTTCCCAAGCCCCGAGACCCCTTGAAGCAACGACATAAATCAAAACCCTGGACCTTGACCTGCAAGCCGAGACCTCAAACCCGGAGCCCTTGAACCCTAAACTCGTTTCACCCTCAACCCCAAAACCCTACTTATTTAATCAACCTTAAACCCTAAACCCTTATATGTCCACCCCAAACACCACAGCCCTCTTCTGACAGAGTCTCAATGCTCCACTCGCTTCTGCGGATCAACCAGTTTGCCGAACTGAGGCCCCACCCTGACAGTCCCAAGGCTTCGCCGGGCTCAGGGTCAGGGTTCCAGGGTTTGGGCTTAGGGTTTCCAGGGTTTCCAGGGTTCCAGGGTTTGGGCTTAGGGTTTAGGGTTTAGGGTTTCCAGGGATTGGGCTTTGTTTAGGGTTTCCAGGGTTTGGGCTTAGGGTTTAGGGTTTCCAGGGTTTGGGCTTAGTGGTCCAGGGTTTAAGGTCTAGGTTGTTTGTTTTAAGGGCCCCTAACTTTTTCGTCTCGCTGATCCGAAAGCCTCAGGTTTCTCTTCCCTCTCGCTTTGCTTGGAAGTCAACGCCCAAAGCCTCAGGTTCACTAGGATTTCGGGTTAAGGGTCGAGGGCCAACTGGATTGGGCAGAGGGGTCTAAGACTAGGCTTCGGCTTTAGTCCAAACCCTAACCCTAAACGTCACTTGAGAAGACTGAACTGAACAGCTGCAGGATCCGTTGCTCATAACAACCCGTCCCAACGCCCTGTAACCGGAAGGTTTCAGATAGTGGAAGCTGTCGGATGCACATGGGGAAATTCTTGAGAGTCGAGGATTGAGTTTGGGAAAGTAAAGGGTTTTTGCCTCCTACCTAGCAACCACGAGCCCGCATTGCTGTAATTAAGGGTTTAGGGCTTTGCTTCCTAGTTCGGGCAGTTTTGCTTCGACGTCAGTCCGTGAAAATTCTGAATCAGTCTCATGCAAAGTCCAGAAAGGGAGTTTCAGAAAACACTAGGCTACCGTAAACCGTATACCTCTACAGTATGCAGAGCAACTTGAGCGGTACCTGCTTAGCAGATTACCAGGACCCCCGACTTCAACACCCACAAAGCGAAAAGCCCCAGACAAAATCCGGCAGTATCCAATATTTGGGCTTTAGTGTCTTAGGTGCATCATGTGCTTGACGATGCTTTAAGTTTAGGACGCTCAAGAAACCAAAGCAGCTTGTGTCCAGAAGCCGTACCAACGAAGGCGCTGGGCACATGAGACTATGTAGAATAGTTGAAGAAGACCCCAGTGCCTTATAATTAGTACGCTTATAGTATGCTTCTGGTAGTCTTCGTAGCACCCTTAGCGTACGCTTATGCTACCCTTATGCTACCTTGATCATGGCACCCTCACAGTGCAGAAAGGATCCGCACCTTCCTCTGTGATCAGCAGGTCAACACCCTCGCGGGGCTCCTGTGGCTCCTCGGCGGCGCAGCTGAGAATGCGAGCAGCTGTTCGGGTTGAGGGATTGCATGTGGGGTTCAGGATGGTTCAAGGTATAGGGGATGAAAAGCCCCTCGGCCTCAAACGAGCTCTTTGAGGCTGCGGCATCCAAGGAATCATCGTCGCCCTGCCAGGCAAGGGTTTGGGATTTCGGCACTAACCGTGCTCCCCGGTCTTGCCAGTTCAGAGCTCTCTGTCTTTATCGATTCTAGAGGGCTCACAGGCGATGGTGTCACGATGTGTGGTGGACTCGACGCTGCTCTTGTTGCCAAAGTCAGTTTCTTGTCTCCGTGACTGTTTTCGTTATTTGGGCTCCCGCATGGCTGATCCGAAGAACGCTTGGCAGGTAACCGTTTTCGTTATGAACGCCTGTTTCTGGATTCTTTTTGGATGGACATGTGCAAGTCTTGCTTCTGCTGCTGCTACTACTGCTACTACAACTACTACTACTCCTCCTTCTACTTCTACTACTACGACTACGATTACTACTACTACTACTACTACTACTACTACTACTACTACTACTACTACTACTACTACTACTACTACTACTACTACTACTACTACTGCCACTACTCCTGCTACCGCCACCACCACCACCACCACCACCACCTCCTGCTCTGCGGCTAGGATGGCAGCGACTGCTATTTTAACAATTCCTGCCATGAGAAATCTTCTCTCTTGGTGACAATGCTTCATGTACCCTCCTGTTGTTTCTTTCTTTTTGCGGGAATGATTCGTTGAAGTACTGTTCGTCAATCGCTTGGTATCGTTGTTGCTGCTATCCTTTCCTGCATCTGAGGAATACTTCTAGCAATCTCGTTCCCGGAGTCCAACCGTGCTATCATGGCAGCAGCTATGAGATAGGGGCCGCAAAACTGAGAAAAATCTACTCGTAGCTATTACCCAGGCTTCTCTGTTGCTTATGGTTCGCAGCAATCGGTTTCTGAGGTTCAGGCACTCGGTTGAAGGTTTCTACTCTCACGCTCGCACAAGGCAGGCCAGGCTCACCAGAAAGCCAGACACTCGAGAAGTGGTTCCCGGCTCAAACCCATGACAACCAGAAAAGGTCTAAACTTCTAAACCTGACCCACATATGGGAGTTTCCGTAAATCGGGGACCCTAATATAAGTACCCGAAATAATAGGATCCTTATTATAAGGACCCCAAAATAAGGTACCCCGAATTTTCGGAAACTCCCATATAGGCTTTCAGGGTTTCGGGCTTCCCGTTGAAGGCTCGAAGGCCTGGGTCGAGGAGGAGGAGGAGGAGGAGGTGCGGCTTGGGTTTTCGGGTCAAGAAGTTCGGAATTTGCAGGAGTTTACCTATAGTCTCCATTGTAGTTCCTTTTCCGGGTTATGTTATAGGATCCTAACTATTATATGTTTGCTTAAACCAAAAAAGGAACTACAATGGAGACTATGGGCAGGATTAGGGTGAGAGTCACAGGAGAAGGGTGCCAAAGCTGTGCACAAAGACCGGGCCCGAACAAGACTCAGACTTGATGCAGAAACTGGCGAAGAAAAGCAAGCCTAGCAAAACTCTGAGGTAAGTCATGCTTAGGCACCGATTTCGTGGCCAAGTCCACAGACAAATCAGGTCTCACCAACTCGAGGGCCCCCGTGAACCCGGAGCTTAAGGCAAACACCCCAAACCTAAAGAATCCTAAAACCCCCAAAGGACGCCACAAGTGACCGAGGCCTCCCCCGCGAGAGCGCACTGCAACCTGGGATGACGTGGGTTTAGGGCTTCAGGGGTTTAGGGTTTTAAGGTTTAGGGTTCAGGGGAAAGGCATCACAAAGCTCTTACTTGGGATTTAGTCTTGCCATTCTGAAAGGGCGCCGGCGTTCGGATTCCGAGTTGTTGCGGAATGGCCTCTTCCCTGCTGTTGATGGAAGCTACTTATTTCGAGCTCGCGAAGAGTCAAGTCAGACGTCGAACTCACGTCTGCCAACTGTCCCGGACCCCTTCTTTTTTCCCTCCTACCTAGCAAGGACGAAGCCCGCATTGCAGGGTGTCTCAGTTGAACAGTTGGACTACAGCCACGGTATCTGGTGTTCAGACTGTCCCCTTTTAGGGTTTGGGGTTTACGAGTTACTTTTTCTGGCTAAGACTTGGAACCCTAAAGCCTCAAATCCAAAATCCCTCAGCCGACCCCGGAAGGCTCTGAGGCAAGCGGCGAGCATCCATGGCGAGCCGCTGCTGTCACGTGACCCGCATGAAGCGTCGGGGTGACGTCCTTTGAATGCCAGAATTTCGGACAACCTAAACAATAGGATCATGAGAAAAACACGCCTGAACAAGGCACACTACTACTGGCAAGATCGATCTTGACTTCGTGGTTCTGACATCTCTGCCTCTAGACCCGAAACTCCGAACAGCTTGCCGCTATCTCTTTGAATGTGTGCTGATTCCGCTATTTGGGGTTTTCAAGCTATGAGCTGCCCTTCTGTATATAACCCCTTCATAGTAGGATGATCCTTCCAAGAAGGACCCCCCGAAAGGAACCCCTGATTTCGAAACCACCATCTCAGTGCACCTCTTCGTTGGTGCGGACAAGGCGCGAAGACCTGCGGATGGAAGTGCGATGCAATTCTCAGCGGTTCAGGGCTGTAATATAGGGGCCTCAAGAACTACCTATACTATTTTGGGTGTTCCGTGTTGAATGTATAGCATAATGGGCCCCAAATCTCTATTCGAATTGTTATGGCCCTATATTGGGCCTTGCGGCTTAGGGTTCTAGGTCGTTTCAATCAATGTTCCGCAGGGTTTACCTACAGCAAAGAAATCAGAAGACGACAGAACTTGAGTAGGGCCCCAAAATAGCACATAAGCCAAATATGAGGATAGGGATATCCCATATATGCCCCTCGTAATGAAGCCCAAAAAGCTAGGGATATCCCTATAAAATGGCTTATGCTTATATATGCTTATGTGCTCTTGGGGTCCGTAATTGAGCCAAAAAGCCAGGTAAGAATCGTCCTCGAAGTCCAGGCATTCGTTGATTTCCCAGTGGCATTGCCCTCTCTTCTTGCCAATCTGGGAGATTGCATGGCTGTGGTTTTTCCTACAGCTCTATGGGTGGTTGTCAAAATTAGGGTCCCTTTCTGCTTACCCTAGATATTAGGTGCCGTATTATAATAGGGACCCAAAAATGGACCATTTTTTGACAACCACCCCTATGATGAAGACACCAAAAGGGTCCTACGTTCAGAGGACTACTGTGTAGAACAAGGATTGCTTTCCCTAAACCCTAAACCGCTTTCTAGCGTGTCCGTGTATTGTTGTTAGCTGGCTTGGCCCTGTAGACTGACATTCGAGTGGGTAGTACTTTTAAAGGGATCCTTTAAGGGGTTCCTTAAAGGGATCTATAAGGGTTCTATAAGGGGTTTAGGGTTTCCGAAAATTAGGGTAGGCCAAACCACCGTAGAACTCAATAAGCGGTTTACGGTTGAGGTCTTGTCAACGACAAGGGTCATCAGACAAAGTCGGCTGACGACTGAACTCATCTGAAAAAATCTTTCTGCACCTAACATTAAAATTGAAAGAGCTTGAGTTTCACGCTGGAGCCCTTGTCTTCGCTATTATCGAAGCCACTCGTGGCAACATTTACGGCCCCTACACTACAGGATCAACTTCTGTTCCCGCCCTTTGCCAGTCTGAGTTCCTAGGAGGCACGAAGCTGCTAAACCGGTCTGCGTTGAAAGTTGGTAGCGTCTTGCATCGAGTGTACCGAAGTGCCTTACGTCCCCGGTTCAACATGCCCTCGACGATGAATGAATTATTCTGTCAACTATCCCCTGTGCCGTGTTGTTGTTGTTGCTGCTGTTGTGGTGGTGGTGCTGTTTCTTGGTTTTGTTTTTTTGTTCTCTCTCTTTCTCTCTCCCTCCCTCACTCTGTCTAACTCGCTCGCTCTTTGTATTCTTTCGCTCTCTCTCTCCCTCTCCCTCTGGTGTGTGTGTGTGTGTGTGTGTGTGTACTCAGAGATCCTGTCAGACGCGGCTATATCTCGTCCTCATGCACTAGATTGGCAAAAGATGCTGTGGGTCCGGGCTGTGTAAGTACCCTAAGGCCCCACAGTAGTTCCTGTTTGGGGTTAGTATTTAGAATCCTATAAAGTAATCCTCAAAGGGAACTACTATGGGGCCTTGGGGTAGTCTCCATTGCAGCGGAGCGACCCCATAGGCGACGAATTGGCACTCAGGCACTTCGCGACAGAGCTGAAGACAAAGAGGAAGAGACACCGAAATGCCTGGGCTTCTGGTCTTAAAGGTCCCTCCTCGGCGGTTCAGAGCTTGAGCATCTCGTTCGTGCACGACAAAGGGACCAAAAGAATGCGTACCACTTGCTGTTTTCTGAGACGACGAGTCAACTGCCTGAGCAAGCTAGAGTGTAATTAAAACATGCGGAAACCAGCACTGTGCGGGTTCTAGAAACAAGACTGTGAACACAGTCCTTTGGGTGCGTACAGTGGCGGGCACCTCAGCCCTTTGCTCCTTCAATGTTGTGTACGGATCATTTCGTTTGTTACACGCATGCTTGTCAGAAGACATGAACCCCTTAAACAATAAAGAAGTGACGGCCCTCGTCCCTCCAAGACGAGGCTCCGAGAAGTACGTCTGAGCCATCGCATTCTGCAGCTCTCCTGCTAAAGTCAGGTCACCAGTCAAAACAAACGTGATATGGCTGAACCCAGGGACTACAGTGACACTATTCATTTATTCAGGCTTCTACAGGTGCTGTATACTATGTAGAGGGTCATTCCCCACCCCTTTTCAAGGTAAGTGGCTCAGTGGCTCTATGGCTATACAGAAACGTAATTAGGTACCCTAAAGGAAAGAGGCTAGGGTATAGCGCTCCAGGTGTAGCATATATATATACATACACTATATACACGTACACATACACCCACACCTACACGTAGGAATGGACATAGACCTGTACCTATAAGTATATGTATATGAATAAGATACATATACATAGACACACATACACACCATCAGTATAGTATGGTACTCTAGTCTACCTATCTGGATGGCCTTCGGAGAGCTGCAGGAGCTGCGCGGTACGAGCGTGGCCACTCGTCCAGCCTGAGGCTGGATGAACCCTCGAAATCTCTGAAGCCCTCAGCCTTCCTAGGTGTCCTACGTCTCTACATATGACCATGTAGTATTATCTCCCTGAGGGTCCATGCGTGTCCACGACATATATCGGTCTGAACAGTTTCGGAGTCACGGTTTAGGGCCAGGGTTCGGATTAGGGTGTAGGGGGGGCTAGTAAATAAATATTCGATACAAGTATAACCATGTACTCAAAGCTACACCATGATACACCCCAAAACTCCATGCTTCCTATTCAAGCGGCGCTATACGGCCATTTTTAAAGGCGGGGCTTGCAACCAAAATCAACCCTCAGGGTTGGGGGTTTAGTGTTTACACCGCCGTTGTCATGAGAAACGCAGATCAGCAAAACCCTGCTTAGAGAGTCTAAAGGCTTAACTTCTCAAGAACAAGTAAAGAATTGCGCTACACTCAAGGGTTGCTATTGAGCATGGAATCCAGCGCACAGTCACAGTGACAGCCGACACCGGAACACCGTTCACGAAAGCAAGACGCCTCTTAAGCCCTGGTGCCTCGCCCTAACCCTAACCCTAAACCGAACCAAAATGAGACCCGAATTTCGGGAGTGACTCGACAGCCTAAGCCGTACTACCTAACGAACCTGCATCGCTTCTCATCGGGGTTATACGTCTTCCGGGATTCGTCCGGCTAAGGGCTCTCCATGATTGAGAACTACCTATAGTTTCCATTGTAGTTCTTTTTTTGGTTAACCAAAATCTCTATTATAGGGTCCTAACCATAAAACTTGTTTACCAAAACAAGGAACTACAATGGAGACTCTAGGTATCACTCAGGCTCCTACCTTAAGCCCTGGAGCTTATGATCTCCCGAAGCGACACCCCACCAAACCTTAAATGCCCCCTAAAGCCTACATGGGAGTTTCCGAAAATAGGCGACCCTAATATAGTACCCTAAATAGTAGGATCCTTATTCAAAACTATAAGGACCCCAAAATAAGGTACCCCCCTAATTTCTGACGCCCTCACAACCCAGGCTGGTGCTTTTGAACAGATTCGCATCTCCTGATTTCAGGCTGGCCCGGGGCACCTGCGTACCCCGTCTTTGAGCTCCGAAATCAGGGTGTCGAAGCTAACCAAGAGGGTCCATATACTAGAATTATGGAAATAAGTCCCTAAAGCCATGATAAGGATGGTCTTTTGGGAACTGATTCCAAAATAGTAGTGTATATGGACCCTCTGGGTAAGGAAGCATGGAGCATGTTGGATTCCGAGGCCAGCATTATCTGGGTTTAGGGTTTTAGGGTTTAGGGGTTAGGGGTTTAAGGGTTAAGGGTTTAGGGGTTTAGGTCAGCTTGGCTTCTGAATGAAATAGCTAGGAATAAAGCTTATCTAGGTTGCCTTAATTCCTGTGCTTCTGTTCCGGCTGTGGAAACGACGGCCTGCACCGGCATAGTAGAGGGTTCCTAGGATCTTTGTCCCTGCATGCACAAATTCCACGAACGCTGGAGGCAGGCTGTCGCCGCTGCTGACACGGCTGGCAGTGGGACTCTGGCCGTGGGAAGCTTTGACACCGTCGTCTTCCTCTCCACGGGTCAGCACCAACATTCCCACGATCATACCACCGATGCATAAGAAGTACCCCACGAATGTCCACCAGGGCTCACCATCCATTTCCCGCAGCACGATCACGGCCGACAAGCTGTTTGTCAGTATGCTTGAGCCTTGGAAGACTGTGACGACAAACAAAGCCTCGTATTTCCGCATGGCCCTTTGCATGTAAGGTACATTTGTAATGGCGAAGAAGGCTGCGCCAGCGGAAATTAACCAAGGGAGCCAGTTGCTCCAAGTTTTGCCACAGGAGCCATTGAAACAGTCTTTCACGAAGACTGCAACCAAACCTGAGTGAAATGCTTTGGGGTGTTTCCTAGTTTTGCTTTTGCTCTCTCCCTCCATCTCAGGGGCCTGCTCAGGTGCTACTGTGGCGGCCTTAACAATTCAAGTAGGGGTGTTCGGAAACTTAACTCAGAACATCGCTACTTAAGGGCGCGAGCCGAGGGCATGCTAGCAGATCTGCTGTGTTAACTTGGCTGCAAGGTGCGGGTGCACCACATGTTGCCTGCAAGCGATCCAGAAATCGCTCCGAGGCAAAAGCCTCGAATCACGGAGCCATGTGGACAGCGTGCAAGCACTCGCACATTCATAGCTAGCCACGAACTGAATAGGATACCGTATACCGCAACGCGCCACTGAAGCAGCACATCCTGAGCACGCTCCAGGGTCCATTCCTCCGTCTGCGTCTCTTTGTTGAAAAAGACCGACAGAGTTGCGGTCACAAAGACGATGACTATCCCAATGCATCGACATCGCGTCACCTGTTCGCCGAGCGTGATCGGAGCCACCCTGACAAGAAGCTGCTTGGGGCTTGGGCTCGCAGAAAAGAGTGGGGACGGAATTTAGAAAATTTAGACATGTCCTGGGGGCAGATGCATCTATGAATAATGGCCAAGCAGCAAGGAATTGGCAATGATGTTAAAGCCGGTAAATGGAGAGATAATAGAGGCTGGCGCAAAGGCATAGCCCGAGACGTCAAGAACTGGTCCAATGATGAGGTTGAGAAAGATTCCGGCAGCAAAGCAAATTTTGCCTGTGCCAATCTGGGAGGGTTGTGCAATGCGACCACACACGGAAAGCTGCAACACACATCCGACAAGAACCGAATCGTGAACCCCTTGCCAGCCCTAAACCTTAAACCCTAGAACAGCTCGTGGAACCAGCCCTGACTACCAGGCCCTGATTTTGACATGACATGCCAGCCTTCCGCAACGTGTCCTGACTGGTTCTTGAGCTCCGACTTGCGGATCAAATGCATTCCGCATGTGCCCACCACAAGCCCAGCCAGAACGAGGCCCACACCAACAAGCCACATGGCTTCGAGGAGCTGTCTACAACTGCAAGCGCTCCAACCACCTACATAATAACGGGGCCTTAATAGTTGAAGCAAGTGCTTCGGGCCTGGTATAGCACAAGAGGATCGGCAGCCTCGGGGATTACCTTAACCCGGAAGAACCTAACATTTTAAGGACTTATGTAAGGAAGTCATAATAAGGAGCCCTAAAAAGGTAGGTTCTTCAGGGTTAAGGTATATACATTGATGAATTATGCAGGCGTGTCGGCTCGGACATGTGTGGCACAATAGCAGAATCTGATGGGCCGGACATGAAACCCATGTTCCCCACACCACATACTCTGTACAACAGCATGCTGGTGGACCCAATGTCGGCTCATCTCCATTTCTCCTAGACTTCTCCATAATCCTTGAATCGTTTGCTGTCTTCCCCTTGTCCAGCAAAGTGCAGTTTCATTTCCGGATCACACAACAAGGGGTCGAAAACCAAACACCTAAGGACTCCCTCTCCTGTCGAGCTGAATTAAGTTATCTGCGTTTGAAACCCGCAAGACTACAACGAAGGCCGAGACACGGAAACGGCGGCCTTTGCCTGCAGGTTGCCGTCTTCTTTGGGCAACTGCAGCCAAGGCCTTCGCATAAGGCTCTTTATATGGCTGTGGGGTCGGGTTCCGAGTTTTGGGAATAACCAGCTAAGTACCATACTACTTGGGAGGTTCTCATCGTAATTATGATCGAGTATACAGTATACAGCAAAACCCTCTTCTAGCTACTATAAGGTCCTCATCTTATACCACTTGTGGCCAGGATGTCGGCTTCATCGTGAAAATCAAGACCCTACTTGAGAAGTGGACATCTACCTAGACCTAGACCCTAGACTGTAGCACCTCATTAGCATACGTCCAAAAACCTACTGTCTTAAGGGGTTACCACCTCGCACAAAGGGGTCAAAACTTTGGGGGTACAGGTGCATGTCAATTGCTTATAACGTTGTAGTGGCCCCACTTTGGTATAAACCTAACCCGACTTTGCAGGATTTTAGGGCGCCGTTGTCAAGTTGTTACCGGAGGGCGCCTCGGAAAGAGAAGTTTGTCTAGGAGCTCTACAGGGGCACCTAAGCAAAATCTGGCATAGTAGAGCATTGTAAGATATAAACAATGCATTAAGCTATCATTATTCGGTAATACATAGTATGCGGTCTTTTGAAATACTATCCCCATGAGAAGGGTAGGTTGTTGTATGGCTATGTCCTTCTATGGTCCTTAATTGTCTTTAATTGTAGGAATTGAGTTTTCCCCTGCAGAAGCCACGGAACACCTTTTTTTCCGGGACTGAGGTTCAGGGTTCGTAAGATTTAAGCTCTAAGCGGCCCGTAACTGCTTGTAAGGTCAGGGCCAAAAAAACTTAATCATAAGCTTTGGGCTTTGAAGTTTAGGATTACCAGCTCTGCCAGTCAGGCTTTGTTCAGTTCCTGAAGCTGCAGCCCCTGGCGCCAGACTTCTCAACGTCGCACGTGAAAAAGGTGATGTACACAACCCGCCAACGCGAAGACACGTTTGCGTACTTACAGCTGTGCAGGATTCATGTCTCAGGTTGTGTGTAGGTGTAGAAACATCAGCACACAGACTTGCAACACACATGCATTTGTGTGTATCGGTGCAGGTGCTGTGTACCTAGATACGAAGAACTGACAGCAGTTGTCTGGAGACTCAGTCACTCTTGCCCAGCTACGACTCCGAAGCAACCCTTCCCAGTGGAACTAGCAGTTCATACCTCAACAGCGCAGCAATCCTGAAGTATCCTAAACTCCTATAACCCGCAAGACAAACCCGCAAAACGCAACCATCTTCAAACGGAATCTCGCTCCAAAACCCCAAAAGCTGAGTCCTCAACGCCTTAACGTAAAAGCAAACAGCGCCGCAACGTAAAACCCAACAACAGGGATGTGGAACCTCAACCCGAACCCTGCACCCTTACATCCCAGACCTGATCCCCCTGAACCCTTTGTGCATCCCGGACCCTGAGCCGTAAAACCCGTAATTAAGCCTCAAACCCTACACTCAACTATGGGCCTGTGGCATTGGCTTTTTCGACCTTGAGTTCCTCGTCGGGAGGCCTGTTGCAGGGACGGGCAGGATTGGGGCTTAAGTTTGGGGAAGCTTGTGGGATCATGAGTGCATTTAGGGCTCCTGGTGCTCAGGATATCAGGATTTATGGCCAAATCTGTTTTGGGAGCCTCTCATTTTCCGAAACTTCCGCTTCGCAGTGGGGATGTATTCCTGGGCCGCAGGATGGGTGTCGAATGCCACCGTTATTCGGACATTGTGATTATGTTAACGGAAAACTCTCAACCCCAAACCCCCAAAGCGACAAAGCCCTAAACCTTAAAAAGCCCCAAAGCTGAAAAAGCCTCAAGAACAAGCGGAAAGTTCGCAAAAAAGGGCCTCAACTCTATAAATGAGGTCCGGCGGGCTTTGGGCAAAATACGCTATGAACTTCTGTGCGGACTGTGAGGAGACATTCCTACATGTACTACTATGTACTACTGGTCCTCTCCTGTAAAACACTACTGGTCCTCTCCTGTAAAACACTCCAAGCGCGCCTCATGTGCTGGGGTACTGATGAGTTTGCAGCAACCTTGGCAAGCTGCATGGGGATCTGGTTTTCGGGCTTTAGGGTCCGAACCTTCAACCCTAACCCCAACCCCTAGCCCTCAATTTTCAACCCCTTTGCCTTAATCCAGAGGTGCGATGCTAGTGGTACTGCTGGTGCTTCTGTACACGACTATACCCTGACTATACGGTAATTAGAATAAGGAGCCCCCGCCAAAAATAGCATGGGTAATTATAATAGAGGCAGCTATAGTATTGTCCCTCATCCCTGCTTTCGGCCATAAAACATAACTGCTCCTACTCCCTACAGGGAGCTCTGAACCCTGAACCCCTAAACGCGACGACCCACGATGATTACACTTGGGTCGACGGGTGCTCCAGATGATGACGGCCAGAGAGGGGCTGCAAAGGAATAGCAGTGCCGACTGTGAAGCTCGACGAGCTTGCAAATCATGCCGAGGCTTATACGTACCTCCAGTCTCCATTGCAGTTCCTTTTGGGGGTTACCTTATAGGATCCTAATTTATATTTGGTTAAACCAAAAAAAGGAACTACAATGGAGACTGTAGGTAGTGTCATGACTTAATCATGAGCAGCATCCCTACTGCGTCCTGCGAGCCACCTGTTTATCAAGGCACCCACATTATTTCAGCCAAGCCACAGGTATCAGGGTGAGGACGAGAAAGGCGCCGTATCCTCGGGTAAGCTATCACATCATGGCCAGGACATCGGGCTTGCAGAAGATAATATCGGGGCCTTAATAATCGGAATAGGGTTTTGGGACCCCCCCCCCCTGAAAAAAGACCCTATAATGATAGTAAAGCGCCCCCAAACTAACATTGTTAATTATTGGTATCTTAAAAGGGCCGTCATAAGAAGATCCTTTAGACGGAATCCCGGCAGCTCCCACATGTTTGCCTCCTGGTCTGAGATGAGAAGCAGGGATTCATAGTTTGACTTGCATGTTCGGACTGCTGACCTTAAAGTTCACGCATTTCTCAAATCTGTAACTCCCGCACACAGCCCCCGGTTTCGGTGCTATATTGTAGCTTAGCCTTTTGGGAGTTAGCGCTCCTGTTGGGGCTTCGAGACCACACTTCACCTGGGTGTGTAGGGCTTACACGCTCGAGCCACTCGGGGGCGAGTAGATGGGCGAAGCATTTCGTCCTGTATCCTGCCAGATCCCGCGACTATCTAGCTTTCGCAGCTTCCGAAACCCAAGCATCCTCATCCAAACCCCTGAACGCCTGCTATATATGTGGGGACCCCAAAACCCCATACCTCCTTGAAATCCTTCCGAGCCCCTTTTCGCCCCTTTCAGCCCCATAAACGCCCTATGCTGCATACCCTTTACTAGAGGGGCCTAAATAATCACCAGTACTATTTTGGTGGTTCCTTATTATAACTAATAATAGTATAATGGGCCCGAAAACCCTATTCTAATTATTAAGGCCGCTTTATTAATTGCTACAACCCAACCAAGGGCCCAGTGGCTTGGATCGGTAACCTTCTCGCCTTCGGTTTGTTCCTGCCAGCAGGAGATGGGTTGCGGGATGGCCACGGCCTTTAAAATCTAACGTCTTGTTTGACTGTTCTGTAAGAGATTTACGACACTTTGTGTGCATAAGCCGGGTTAGCGTCCGGCTGGCATCCTGCACCATGACAAGGCTTAGACGCGGGCTTTGACAATTAGAATAGGGTCTCGGGTACATGAAAGTATCAGTATGGGACATTATTAAGGCTTCCCTGCACCCTAATGCATGCAAACTGCGCCATGAGACGGCTGGAAGTTGGGTCCAAGGCTTGAAGCTTCAGAACAGGACAGCCGATCTCCAAGCAAGACGGCTGGATCAAGTACACTCGACTCCTCGAGCTGCACACTTCAGCCACGGCTCGCACTAAGTGATCTGTCTTGTCCATCTACTCCGCTGTGCCAGACAAAAACGAAAAACGAGTTCGGCAACAGCCATCATGCCTGGCTCTTGAACCACTCTAAACCGCAAACCGCTCACAGGAACGGACGAATATCACAGGCCTCAAATGCAGCGAGCGCCGCTGAGTAGCAAATGCCGTGGATTCGGCTGCAGTGGCAATCCTTATGGGCTGAATACTTTAGTCTAGGGGTTCCTTTAAAGGTGTCCATACGGGCTACCATAAAGGATACTTTGATGGGCTGGGTCCTAGGCTTGTTGTGTTGAGTGCCGAGTCTGCTAGCATACTGAGTGAAAGCAGCAACCGACTGCTCAAGTGCTTGTTTTGCAGTCTTGGCTACCGTCTGGAGTCTTGAAGGATGCCACGAAATCCAAACTCTGCAGCACTGCAGCCCGGAAGTACGGAAACAAACCTTCCTGAACACAGTCACGGCCAAGCCACATTGTGAGTACGCACTGCCTGTCAATGCCAGCGTGG